CACCAAGATAGAAACGAGTTTCGCGGTGAACACAGGGCGACCGGGTGGTGGCAGGGCTTTGCTTGTTTTGTGCACCACCGAACAATGCCGCGTCGGGGTAATGGTGCCGGTTACGCGACCATTCTCTTTTCATTTCGCTCGCGGAATGTTTCGGGGGGGAAAAAAATGTTCCTCTTTGTGGGTGACACAATCGTGGCGCACGATAATACCGTGATTGTTTTTCGTTTTGTTTTTGTCCAATGGTTCTGTTTTTTACGAAAAACATTTTTTGACGATGTTCTGTATTTTTACTTATTTGGTTTAGGACGGAAAGCAGTGGTAGCAGATAGTTAGCGAGTAACAGACAGTGAATGGTTTCTTAATGATGCTTGAATTTACGAATTTTTATGAAGGTGTTTCATGTCTAGCGTATGTCTTTATTTATCAAGCGAAATGTAGCAAATTAATTTGCTATGTCAAACATAAATCAATGATCAAAGTGATTAATATCCTATAAATATCCGTTCCATTTGAAGTTTACTGTTAATACTGTCGATATGAGGTATGTTTCATAAGCGGAACGTTGAATTTATTACAAACTAATTTCCTGATGCAGATACAAAATAAATTCGATTAACTAATTTTATCATACATTAGTTTATACGTACATATAATCCGTTCAATAGCTTTAAACATTAATTCAAAAGTTTTGTAGAATTTTGAACAATATATAATTTATTATGAAAATATAGAGAAGAAAACGAAAGAAATACAATGACCTTTCAAATATCACTACATACAATGACTCGTACCACTTTTTAGCAATTAAGAGGTACATATATACCTCGCTCTCCACATTTGACACAACGTTACTAACATTCAGAAAGAAACATCCTCGTTTAGTTTTCACCACTCCAAAGATCGCCGAAACATCGACAGGCCAGTTATTGTTTTCCTATTGGATCTGCATTTCGTCTTTCTCTCACTTTCTCTTTTATGCCTCTCTCTCTGGTCCTCCGGTTAGGTGGATGTTTACCTGATCTCGCGCTACAATTTTTAATACTACTCTTAAAATTACAGTATTACATTTTCGATGTAAAATTACCGAGGACTATAAAAAACTGTTACACAAAAGAGTTATCAAAAATCCTGTATCGAACGATGGGATATTTTATCAGAAGATGTCCATTAAAAGACTATCGTCAATAAACAAATTTCAAATACGATCGATGCGATTGTTCATCGTAACGTGAAACACCACAAAAGCGGGAAACATATCTGCAGAGATTTCCTCTTCAAAACTAGAGAACAATCGAAATCTCGTCGCTATTCCGCAACTAACGTATGTACAAACTGTACGGCTCGATAGTCGGCGGCCGACTACGGAATACTACACCACTACGCCCGACTCGAAATCAAGAGGATAGAGAGCGGTTAATCTACCTATCTTCTCCCTCTGTCCCGTCCTCTACCAACCGGTGGAATAGAGAGGGGAAGGGAAGAGGAGGTCAGCTTCAGCCGTTAATGTTTAGCGCAATCAGCGATAATGGCGGTCTATGGCGCGTTTAATCAAGGCAGTAGCCCGTTGCGGCTTGCGGTTCGAAAGCGGCCTGCCCCACGGTGCAAAGGAAAGGGTTGGTCTATATATACGATCCGCATTCACGTGTATATGTGCCGCACGTGGTCCCTGTCCCCCTGAGTCTACGAATGTGCGCGAAACGGGGAGCAAGGTTGCCAGCGAGAGAAAGGGAGAGATACACGAAGGGATAGCGAACAGCAGGGTTGAACATATCAGGTGGGTTTAGCGGTCTCTGCTGGCTCGGCATCGCCTCGACCATAGAGTGACCACTAGTGCACGCACACTTGCCTATCCTAGACAAGCTCACCGACAGGACACGTTTGAATCTCGCGCCTGTGGCCACTATAATCGAGTGCACAAACTCTCCCTTTCTCTTTCATTCATCCTGTTATATAGTGCCATTCTCTATTTCTCTTATGAACCCTCCAGAAGTAACAATAAATAAGTATACATCTATGCATTCAACATAATACCTTTGTTTTCAACAGAAAAAAAGGAGAAAATTTTTAGCTGCTCTGTGGCTCATTTCTATACGCTTCGTTACAGCAGATTAATGCACATTTTCATTCTTTTTGAAGTACCCCCTTTTATACAGTGTGGCCACTGAAAAACTCGTCATTTGAGAGTTGTTGTTTTTCACACATAATATCGAAAAAATCCATGAACCCTATTTCTAAATAATATAATAGAAAATTGAAGAACGATGTGTTTGTAAAAATTATTTTGATTTTGTATCATTCAATCTTAATGGCCACTCTGTAATGTTCAAGTAACATGAGTCTATTTTTAATCGAGCAAAGCGAATGTCAGTACGAATACATCAAATTCGAATTTGATTCCTCTATTCCAAATGATTTATAGATGTACATACTATACCTATACATCTCACAGTTGGAATAGTAAATATATGCAATAGATAAGGGTAACTCGATTTGGTATAGTTGCTAGTCTTTACACGAGTCCAATGAAGCGTCGATCGTAATTGGATAATTGCCGATCCGGATTCATTGGTCGCGATCGATTAACTGAAGCGAAGCCGAGCCGAGAAGACTGTTAGCTGTGCCAAATTAGATTCCGCGAGCAGATACGTATTTCCATTTCTATGCAACTATGACGCGTATCAAATGAAAGACTCGCCTGATGTTATTAGTGTTTGCTTTCGAGTTGATCAAGGAGTTTATAGATGAATCCTCTATTGTCTTTTATGAGTATAATCGTTAACTTGGTTCTTGCGAGATAAGATGTACGCGTAATCGATTATTTACGACAAATTGTAGCTCGATAATTTATTAGGAGTATATCCCCGGACCGCAGTAACGTGATTTTCTTGTCGGAAACCTATTTGGAGGCTGCAATCTCCTGGCAGCAGCCTCCTAGTTTCCTGTAATACCTGGTCCCGACACGTCCCTCTTAATAGCCTAAGCAAGGCCCGTTGTTATTGACTGCCACCGGTGCACCTTCGTGAAGCTAATGCGCAGCTTTCCTGCTCGTCTAATATCCTGAGTGCCGCTAATTTGCCCAGACATAACCTACTGACACGCTCTGATCGATCGTTCTACCGACGCGACGCCACGATGCCACTAAACTCAGTTCCAACATCGTTCCTCCGGGGAATTACGCAGTGAAAGAGGAAGAGAGAGAGAGAGACGCAGACAAACAGATGGTTCGATTAAGACTGAGAATAACGATAGGGAGAGATGGCGAATTGTGCGAGTTTAAGGACACGGAAATGGGTAATTAGGTACTTGAGGATAATCGGGCTCTTCGACTATAACCGCCTGCGCCAGTGATCTCGATGCCGACGATGCTCAGATTGCTGTTATAAACTGTTACGTCTCGTGCAAATCACGAAACGTCTCGTGATGTTTGAAAACAGTTTTGGGTTACGTTGTATATTAATTAAAGTAAAAAACATTGTAACGTTGTAATTAAAGTAAAAAGAATGGGCATATATTCTGTAAAATTGTGTTTTTTAATTTTGTTGAAATACAACAATGCAACATTACGTACACTGTACTTAACCGAGCCCCGGTGGAAGACCCCCAGGGTCGAAGACGAACATTTCTGTACGCCGATGATTGATGCATGCCCAGCGTGAGGCTCCTTTTTATCGTGTAGCAAATATCGATACATCCGGTCGATCGTGATTACTCACGGTTGCGCTCGAAAGAATGACCTGTCACTGTCAATTCGCCGAGCACTCGTTCTTCTTTATCTGGCCTGGTGCAGTCGGGGCAAGGCTGACTAATGTACTCCAATGTCCGATATCAGAAGGTATCGATATTTCCTCGAGTATGTTTTGTCTTCTCTATCACGGCAGCCTTACCTTATCGGTCCCCTCGTTTCTTTATCTCGCGTAACAATGGTGGAATTGAATTTTCTCTGTGGAATTTATCGTGTCTATCTGTGATACAAAAACCTGTAGACGTTTGATAAACGTGTAAAGATAAATTGAGATACTTGCAATTACAAAAATCAACTTATCTTTTAACATACAATCATTACAATGCATTGTTATTGATTTTTAAAGGAAGGTGTCAACTATTGCTTCTTACTGAATGTATAGTGAAATAAAATCTTTGGCTATAACAATTTAAATTTAAGTACGATGTTCTTGATCTTGATAATCCAAGTAATAGATTATACTGTGGTATGTATCTCTCATTTCTGCAAAAAAAAAAAAAAAACATTTTCATGCACCGCTAACAAAGAAACTCTCAACTGAACATCACTTATGATGATGGATCGCGTGCCATTTTTCAACCCAGGAAAAATAACGATGGACACCCGTTGTATCGATGTACAACGTTGGGGGTCGAACACTCGAGAAGACCAACGCAAAGGCGACGGCAGCGCAGAGAAGGGAAGGAATTGGAAAGCTTCGAGTGCTGCCTTAGCACTCTACGTTCAAACATCCAAACATCCCGATCTTTCGACGTCTGTCAGGCCTTCTTCCCGATTCAACCATTCGAGTACCACTTATTCTCCTCCATCGTCTCTTTCTGCATCTGTTTCTTCGATCTCATAGCGAGAGCCCACTTTGCTTTCTCTACTCTTCCATCATTACGCTTCGCCTTTACACGGGCGCTACTAAAGAGCCTACATCGCTGCCTGATGCCTATGCTAGTAGGTAACAATGAATGTGTTCTCATTGTCTCTCATTACATTCTATCTCTCTCTCCATCTCACATTCTGATGTCACCTTTGCTCATAACTTATCAACTATCTTTGTACAAAATATAACTTAAATCTGAAACTGTTCCGAAGTGTGCACCTCATCACATAGAATGTTCCATGTGTTTTATATATTACACAATTTTACTAAAACGATATAAAATACTATTTGAGCTGTACTATATGTATGTATAAAGAGAGACACACATGAACATGAAGAGAGAGAGAGAGAGAGAGAGAGATATGCAGGAGCATTCTGTGCGCAACGGCCACTCGAAGTCATCCCTTTCGTCGACGAGCAGCCACGATGAACCCCTGAATTGATTGCAGCCTGTTTACCCTCGAACATTCACACATAATGGCCGATCCTCTTCTCGACGTTCTCGATTACCCTCTGTCTTCAAAGCTTAACCTCTCAGACTGCTCTAGTGCTATACGTGTAATCAGTCAGCGATCTCTCTCGGTTCTTTTCTTTTTTTAATACGTGGATAACTAGTAGGTACTTGAAGAGAAGCGATTTATGTGTGAAATTGAAATGTTGAATGAATTTTTTTTAAAGTTCCCGTCAAACCCTTTGAAAGACTATTTTATTCCATTGAGATTAACGAGAATTTGGTCTACATTTTTACATTAACTTATTAGATCTGAAGAGAATAGAATTAATCGCTAATAATAAAGCTTCTCGTCTTTTGTAAAAATAATTAAAATATTAATAGAGATGAAGTATTGTCCCAAATTTTCCAGTAATTTAGAAACAGATTGTCCGTTCAACTTACATAATAAAATTTTCATTATATTTAACACCTTATTACATTTCTGTCGTACGGTGACTATCGTCAAAGGATTAATCCATGATCGTACAGGGCCAGCAATTATTTTCACGTCGAGGCTCACGTCATGTCGTCGTCGGGTCGCGTCATACGCGTTGATCCATTGTCGCAGCTCAAACCGCGTTCGCAACAGTTGTAACTTTCGTGCCGATAACTCGTTTTACTAACGCATTCAGCTCCGAAGGTTATTCATGGATGTAGCTACCATTACGCGAATCGTTGCCTGTACTCTGCGCTTTTTCAGCTGACTATTTGCGAAAGCATGCCACTTATACATGTGTATCTCATCTCATTGTATAAAGCCAGTTCCACATAGAATTACACTAGGATTAGTAATATAAAACAATATATAGAGAAACTCCTTAATCTCGAAAAGGAAGAAAGAGGACAAATAAATAAGGCAATTACTTTAACAACATGCTTTCAAATTTTGCTTCTTAAATATATTTTATGATTTATTTGCTAGTGTGACGTCGGCCTAAGGGGTGAATCGAGATTGCAATGAAAACGCGACTGCACCACCCGTCGGAAAACGCAAAGCCCATAAAATTTCATCGGGAGGTGGCGGGGCTGGGTATATCCGTGTTTCTCTCTCCGTCCATCTACCTCTCTTTTTAGCCTCTGTTCACCCGATGCCAGTAACAACCCTTTCTCCTTTTCGATGGCGGCACAACCAACACTGCGGAAAATTAACGAATGACAATGGCGAGCTCTAATATTTATACGAGCAATTTTCGGCACGACTAGCCTTGCTTCGCGACCCCCGGTTTCGCAGTTCCTCCCCATAAATCGCGGACGTGTATATTCGTCACGCGTGACAGCGAGATATCGAAACCGCTGCTTTTTACAAAAAGGTAGGGACAGGTGATCCTGTTCCGTTTCATATCTCTATTCTTGTTTAACTTTTTCGGTCATGTTCTTTTTTCATCAATATCTGTCGTTTTATTCTAAATATCTAAGAGAAATGAGTACAAGAGCATTATGAACCTTGTAGATAAATTTTAATAATCTCTTGTTTTTTAAATCTATACTTATCAACTAGAAAACCTATATAGTGAAATAATATTTTGCTTGTGAAAATGAATAATGAACTAAAGAAAGTCGTCAGGACATTTGTCGTCGATGACCGTGAGGTTTAACGTGATTGCCGTTCTCAGGTGAGAATGTAAGTCTTGGGAAATACGTAGTAATTTTCTTGGCTCTTGGGTAATTGATCGTTGAGCGCGAATAATGCGCCCCGGAGTGCATGCAAGTGTTTTCTTTCGTGTTAAGTAATCGTGGGAATTGCTCCACGTTTACGTCTCGTTATTCGGCTTGAGCGTTTCTTGCATACATATTTATGTAAACTGATTAAGCTTGAGGGAGATCAGAGAAATCACAGAGTGAAATTTTGTTGCGTCTACTATTTTCATTCGCTCGTTATCTTTTTTCCTCTTTGTGCACATTACGCATTTTGTTTCGTTCTCGATTTCCCAGTGCATTAATCACGACTAGTAACTTTCTATCGGGTCCTCGCGTATACTCATTACGTAACGAGCCAGATAATAGATAAAGCATTAATCATTCATATCGCGATGTGCAACCGGTTATTATTCCTTGAGGCGATGAAAACTAAAAATGGGGATTAGCGGATTGATTAAACTCGGCTTCCTTCGCGAGAAACTAATGCATACAATAAGTAATGAGCATCGTGCAAATAATAAACGTGCGCGCGTATTAATATACTGCACAATATAGTGCTATTGACTACATAAAATACGTTGTGTACGTATCATTGATCAAATTTTGTTAAGAACAGAATCATCTGACCTGTTTCCTTAAACAAAATTTCAATCGCGTGTACTTCACTTAATTTTAATGTAACACATTCTTCACTCTTAAGCGGTTTATATTGATACGAATAAATATCTTCTTTCAATATAATTATCAGAAATTGATTAAAGACAAAATTGAATATTGTATACAAATTCCTTGTATGCGCGAACCTGATACATAGTTGGTAGTTTATCTGAATTTTTCAATTTCGAGAGTCTCGTGTTATATTCTTCGGTGGCTTTTGTTTCGTGTTTTTATTTTATCGAGGAGCGAGTTGTACCGAATTTTCACAATTGTATCAACAATTCATTTGTCCTTTCCGTAACGCGACTGCCATGCTGTGTCGCTGCGCTACTGGCGTAGGAGTTAGCAGCAGAACGAGCATTGGTTACAGAAAGCTAAATTGATTAAACCTAACTTTCGGTACGGCGGACGAGCACAATAGGGCGATGAGTATTCAACGAATCCTGTATCCTCCACCCGTTTTATCGTAAACCCGTTGTACAACTGCATCCGTGCGCTCCCTCGATTCGACTGTTCGCTTTATCATTTCCATACCAATTTAAAATTTTCGCTGCAAAAATTTTTCCGATACAATAGAACCAGACCGTGTGTGTGCAACGCTGCACGGAAACTTGAAATGATAACATTCGTATCGGATAGTTATCGATTGGTTGTTTTAAATATTCTCCCGTTTTAGCGTGGAACTTGATTACTATTTCACATTTCGCATTTCGAATAATTAATATTTTTTTATTTTTATTCAACTTTCGAATTAACTGCGTGAATTCTATGCTTTAACTCGAGTTTGTTCCGAGTCGACTTCAAATTCGCTGTCTGTGGCTACTTCTATTTGACCATGGTCCAAATTGGCCGCGTTTCAATTCGACTACGCTCCAAATTGGCGACATTTGCTCACCGAATTGACAATCTTCCAAAGTTGCTAAACATCGATTCCACTACGCTGTCGTTTTGATAATCGTCCAACTTAGCCATACTTTTCCTCGACAACAGTTCATTCGAATCATGACAGCAATCCATCTCAATTTTCATCATATAGAATTTAAATCATTCTTGAAGCTGTCACAATAAGCACTCTCAATCATTCGCTCATACATTTTGTCACACAATTAATTTCGGTTAAATCGCTGTAAAGTTATATGTTGGAACTAATAAGTGCTGAGCTTGACGAATCTTTTAGGTATGTAATATTTTGTATTGAAGCATTATCTTTAGCTAAATTCTTTATTTATCAATGCAATGATGCTAACATTGTACATAATTCTCAGTTCAATCACTTTCCCAGAGAAATTTTCATTGAACGCGATCTTGCTTGCACTTGTTCTTTATCCCGAGAAGCATCCAGGGCCTCGTTTGTATTTACTCAGTTGGCGACTTGATTAAATTTAACTTGTACCACGGACGAATCGCGACGAACAATGAGTCGTACATGGTCGCATCGCGGTGCCTTAATGCTGACGAGGGAGAGAGCACACAATCGCAATCGCCTCTGGTGTGCACACCGACGCGGAAAACACAGGAACGTGTAACGTGAACGCTCGTACATCCGGCGCACTCCACAAGCCGCGGAATATTGCAATCACGCGGACGTTAGCCGGGGCTTTACAGCCAGCGGAGCCAGTAGTGTATAGGGGCTTACCAGAAACCAGGGGAGTTAGCCGAACACGCCGGTTTATTTGCTCGTGTAGCATAATACCGGCAAAGTCCGACGAGCAACTGCTGGTTTACTCGTTAGTGCGAGTAACGGGCCGTTTTACCGGCGTGCTCCAGCTTCTGCCAACTATTCTCTCTGTCTTTCCGTATTTCTCTCCCTTTATCCCGACGGCATATCGGACTAAACGTGCGGCCGTACCGCCACGCCGCCGCCGCCGCCGCCGCCGCTCCGGCAAACTTTCCGGCTGCGCTTATAACCAGTCCCGATTACGCTGTTGCTGACTCTTCAATTAAACATTCGGAAGTGTATCACGCTGTCTTCGCCGGTGACCAGATGATTCTAACTGCAAACGTTTCGTTATCTCTTTCGGTAGTTGTCTAAGAGGAGAGAATTTTTGTAACTTTCTTATTATACTAATAACGACCTATATATTTAGTTTATGAATTAGAGAAATTCATAAGTATGTGTCGCCGTTAGCGGCACACGGCGAGCAATGTGCATATAGGATAATATAATAAAATAAATATTCATTATTTTAATTACAAAATACAGTAACAGATATACTGTTTCTCATTACGCTAACAGTAAATATAAAAGTATTACAAAAAAAATGTTCAATCTACATACTACAACACTATTTCTGAGCAAAGTTTACAATCCCCCGACGTTAAACCAAATGCAAATATACACGTACCTGGCACATTAAATTTTGTTATCATCACCTTTGTAGCAAATACCCACACGTGTTCATTCCCTGAATACGATAACAAACAACGTTTCAACGCAACAAAATTCGCCTCCGCTAAATGAAACGACGGAATGCGTCGCACGTGCGATCGCCGTGATTCCACACGATTCCCTTTTTTCTTTCCTCTGTTTTTGTTGGAGCTCGGAACGTTGTCGTTTCGATTTTAATAGAATTTCGAAATTCCGTATATATCCTGCTACTGTTATTCTTGCGATTTATCTTGAGAGATATTCCTCGCGATTTGGGTCACTCGAAATAGAGAGCCGCGGCCGTCGGTTCGTTATTTTAGCGAGAAGAGGATCGGACAAAGGATACAGTCTCCCTTTATATCCACGTCGCGGTTATAGCATCGTTTTTGAGAGTTTCCTGGCTACGCGATGAAACGATCCTATTTATAATTCGCGCGTGCGATGTTTTCACGTGGGCCGTAATGACGCGCAGTTTCGAGGCGTGGGTGATCGTAAAGAATCGCTCGCTGGTTACGGGTTTAAACTGTTTATCGAAGCCAATAACAGAGCACTTCGCGATGATAAAAGGCTTAAGAATTACGAGGGCACGGAAAGCCGATCATGTGAAATATAAAGTGCTAAAGGTGTGTCAATGATAATTATGTTATATATCATTATCTTCACTTACTGTCTTGTTATTCAATAGTTATTGATTTATTAACTGTATGCTTGGTAAATTTTTTATCAATCTATGAAATATACGTGTGGTTGCATGAAAATTATTTAGAAGTTGTATTAGAATATTTTATTCAGTATACAATATATTTTGGACTTTATTTGGTTCAATCCATTGATTTAATTTCATAAATATCGAGCAAAATGATCTACTCTGCTTCTGTGCCGCGTTCACGGTCATTTTGTTTCACTTTACCTCGGTTAGCATTTCATTTCTGAAAGATTCAACGACGCGTGTCGACGTTCAGAGAAGTGTCAAAGGATCATCCAGATTTCTAGATATGTTCCTGGACGGAACGTGGCGGGATTAGATTATTGGTCGTGTATCGGAGAGAAACGGGGGTAGCGCGGGTTAGGAAGCATGAAATGGAAGCGATTGTCGGGGGAAGCATTCGGTTCACGTCACCGTTTTACTGGCGAAGAATTTTATCGACGCGGCACTTTGTCGCTTTGCATTTTCATACCACGAACGTTGGCTGCCAGCTTTTAGGGGTGCACAATGCGCGTACACGGGGTAAGCGACCGTGAGGATACGCCTATTTCGTAAATGCGCACGAATATGCATACACTCGAGTTCATAAATATAAAAACAGTTAATTAGAAATAGCCGACACATTAAACAATTAAAAAATTGTAAAAAGTACGTTGTAAAAGTTAACTTGGAAGGATTTGTAGTTTTTAATTTTTGTTTATTTGCACACGCATAAGTAAATTTCCATACTAGTCAATATAATTAATTTCACCGAACTTTTTCTGTACATAAAAAGATGATTAGATGTCTGTTAATTAAATCACATACAACTCGTTATTATAAACAATTTTTAATTATAATAAATAAGAAATAAATGATATTTCAGTTTGATTATTACTCTAGAATTTATTAAGATTTCTTTCAACGGAAATCAACATACATCTCGTACAGAACATGTTTTCATACTTATCAACGGGAGTGTACGTTGACGTGGGAAAACGCGAGTCGAGTATAGCCGCACTGGCACTTTTCTAAAGCTTCTTGTGGCTTTCGCGATATTGCGAACCGCGTCGGCGTCTCATCTTTTCGCCGTTATGTCACGACCCCGTGCTATGCACGACGCCGCGCCGCGCACTGCCACGAGAACATGCGACACGCGAAAGGTGAAGAAGAAAAATAACGGAATAGTTTAGGAGTCCTGAGCGTAGTTGCATATCTGTGTTATCTTTCAACTCAGGGATCACCGATGAAATCCATAAGATGGATTCTATAAGAACGAGATATCTTTTACCATTTTTTAAATCTATTCTCCTTAATAATACGATAAGATAATTATTTCGAAGAAGAAAATAGAAGAATCTTATAATACAATCCAGTATTATTAAAAAAAAAACATTATCTATAGACGAAATAATTTGTGACCAAGATTTGTAGTAGAATTACGTGTTGCAGCCTAATTAAAAATTCAATCACTATTAATTAATTTAACTGATGTTCATATGAGCTTATATAGGTGTTATGTGTTTTACTTTAAAAAGGCAACTGTTTAATGAAATCTTTCTCAAAATGATTTTCGTCAATAAGAAGTAGCAGAAGAATCAGATCCGTTGGCAATCTCTCGAGCGAAATCGTCTTTCAAAGCAGGGAAAAAGGGCCACGTAGCCGGTCAGAGGACTGGCAATCTTCGCGGTCCAATTTGGCTCGAGATAAGGGAAAAAATTCATTCCAAGTCGCAAGGTTTTCATCTCTCTCGCGTGAAATCCGGAACAATGAGAGTTAGCTGTGCAACACTAGCAGCAGCGCGCCAGCACCGAAACTCTTGCCTCTACCTTTATTTTCCTCTTTTATCTCCTTTCACCCTTTTCTTCGCGCTCTGCTGCCGCTAAAGCATCCGAGCCATTCATTATTTCCTTGGTTACCTCTCCACCGTGGAGAAAACTTCTTGGCAACGCAATTACGTCTTGCACTGTCCCCGTCTTGTTTCTGCAACCCTTTCGCTCACCTCTCAGCCTGTGCACGCAATTTTTTCATTTTCTTTTTCTCACCGGCTCCCTTTTAACTCGCGGCTTGATTATGCGCCGGGAGAAATTGTATAAACGCGCTCGAAATTAACGCGAAAATTGTTTTTTCTTGGAGTGGAAGCTAATGTGGAGATTTAAAAGGTGAATTTTTGAACAGAAGTCCGTTTCGTAATTCAGAGAAGCCTCTGATAAATCATTAGAATAACCAAACGGTGGTTTTAGGTACGGTATGTAGACCTTTAATGATATTTTTATGAAACGGACGTTGTTTAAAGTGAAAGAAAACGTACGACAGTATTACGAGAACGTTGATGCATCTTATGAAATTGTTGTTAAAAAAGAATCTGATTTTACATGAAGACCCGTCAAATCTTTGCTGTTTGTAAGAGTTTTAGTGAATTAACACTTTGGTTTAGAAGACCCACGTTTGCATACCTAAAACCGGATAACCAGGAAAAGATGACAGGACAAAATACACCCTTGTATTTAATTTACGCCATTATGCGCATATTAAAAGCAGTGTTTAAAAATGATTTGATACGATAATCTCATCTGATTAAACATGACATGATAGGCAATTGAGATAATTGCCTATATACCTTGTTGAAATCCATTATGAGGAATATTAGCGATAATTCTTAAATAAGAAATCTGTTATAGCAATGAGAAATTGTTCAATGTTGTTGAATCTTATTCCATCGTTTGGTGAACCTAAAACTCTCATTCGCGGATACCGCCAGTTGTTCCGACGTACGTTATAATTAGTGGTCTAATGACTGGCACTCAGGAGAGCGATGGGGTAATTAAAACAGCTCTGCCTCCCCCTCTCCTCTTTCTCTCCGTCCTTCTTTTTGTTCTGTACGCTCATTCGTCAGCACGGAATTCGAGAGAGGAAGGAAACTTGCCAAGAATTTTAGTGGCCGCGATATTTCAATTAGCATCCCGGGAGTCGTTTAAGCGGCAGTGAAAACGGTTGCTGCCAGCCAGCGATGCTCGTTTTACCGCGAGACACTCCTTGAGTAACTAAGAGAGGGCGACTAGGTGGGTTGGATTTGCATGTTCCCCGAGTTTTACGCAAACCGTCTTCGTTACCGGACCACCAACTGCTCCCGTTTCTTCCTGTTGCACTCGCCCGACGAATAGAATCCGCTCCTGTTCCCGTAAACACTTTCTACTCGGAACATCTTACAAACGCGCGAAAGACACGCCTTTTAAACTCAACTCATCCTTTCCTGTCCTGATTGTAATTTGACCTTATAGAGATAATTTATTGGATTTTAAACCAACATATACATAAGCAAATTGTATTCTTTTTAGTTAATGTACTCCATGAATTAATTCCAGCACATTCATTAAGAGATGAAAGTACAAATAAATACAATCTACCTATCCTTTCTTTTCAATATAGGACGTGCTTAGATTCATTTGATTTCATAATCTAACAATCGTTAAGTCGCTTATTCTCGACGCGCCTCGATTAACCGGGAGCATCTTCGTTCAGCGCGACGAGGAAAATCATCGATTTGTCGCGTCGTTAACACAAATTAACCCCGGCCGTTTCGCCAGAAACACCGGCGCGCACGGGCTGCCGCGTTCAATTATGCATTAATCCAATTATTATTCCCAATTATGCGGTGACCTCATTAAAGTTGGAACTGATTAAAATTCGTGCCGACCGATATACGATGCATCCCTCATCGTGCAAAATTCAAAATACGTACTCGACGCTGGCGGAGTAACAAAATTTAAAAAACCAGTGGAAACCGATAAATAGAGGAAGAAAAAATATACAAAGTTTACATGAAATCTATTTTTATGGAATTTTCATGCAAACGGGGAAGCAGGTGTTGTAGTGTATGTGTGTTCCGTAGGTCCACTTTTTCCGCTAATAACTTTGTTAATAGCGATTATAGGAAACAGTGGGAGAGGAACTTCTCGCTCAGAATTTCACCCTGTTTCACAGTGGAAAAACGTGCATTATGAGACACCCTGTATATATATTAACGAACATCAATTGTTACACGTATAATTATACTAAAAACAATATGTTGTATTGTTCAAATCAAATTGTACCTATTGTACATTACTTAGAGATTGGAATTGTTTCTATTAAAAAAAAGTTCAAATTGTATAAATTACTCAATTGACTATATATGCTTTTAAAAACAATTCTCTATCATCTTCGTCTTTATCAAAGAAAGAGAACTGAAGAGTTTATAACAATGTTGTGCATGTTATATCTTGCGAATTGGCACGAAAGCAATGATTAAAATCACGATAGTTATCCGGAACAGTTTACGATTTTCCGATTGATCCGTGAATTGAGATTTCTCCAGTTTCGTCGAGCGACCTTAATTTCCGATTGAGGTGGTAGCAGATATAAGTACCTAATGCCTGTCAGGATGAAAATTGAGTCAGCTTTAGAATGAGATAGACAGATACAGAGAGGAAGAAGATCTGTCTACCGATTCAGCGTGGATTTAATTTAATCCCCGTCTGTTCTGTCCGGAGGGTGTCGTAAACACCCTCGACTGGTTATACCGCACCTGTATCTACGCTCGTTTCAATCCTAAGGGTGCATTAAGCTGGTCTTTATAACATACCTTATTTAACGATTACCCAAAGGCTGATATTGATATATGTAAATTTCTTTCATGAATTTTTATTATTTAGAATCATACATAAGTAAGGAAAGAATGCGCTGACTATATACTGACTATTTGTTGTTATAATAGAAATATGCGACAAAGAAATTGAATAATAAATACTCATTCACACATAAATTCAGTTATATCTAAGAATAAGAAGAAACACCGGAAAAGTTAAGACATATTAACAAATTTGAATTAGGTATGTTGCATGCATAATCTTGTACTAATTTTAACTAGATGAGGGAATAAAGAGGTGAAAAGGGACAACAATTACATAGACTTCAATCGTGTGAGCGTTGATTGTTTGTAAAAGTGATTCACAGTTTAATAAAGGATCGTTCTCCTTTCTGTTTTCAGACAGAGATAGCGAAGAGGTTAAATGCCATAATTGCTCAGATCCTGCCGTTTCTCTCCCAGGAACATCAACAACAAGTCGCTACTGCTGTTGACAGAGCCAAACAAGTGACCATGACCGAGCTCAACGCTATTATCGGGGTGAGTGCACGCCAATGGAAGATAAATTACTCCTCGTGATACGCGCGTCCGCGCGCGTGTACACACGCGTACACTATCGTTCACGAGTCCAGTCCTCTTGTTCGATTAGTCGTTATACTACATCTATTCTAATTAGACTCAAATACAAAACATGTAACATTGAAACTAAGTGCTTACCTATCTACCGTAAATGAATGATGAGGGAGGTATAAACTTTTAATTTTAAATTTGCAAGAAATTTTATATAGAAATTGTACAAGATTTTCCAAAATAGGTTTCCTGAATATACATATTTCAAAGGCGATGTTCGTTAAATTTGTATAAATAATTCGTATGATTAAAGTTAAAATGTTAAATGGAAAGACACGGATAACAAATAGGCGCCAACAGTCGAGACTCGCTTGTCTAATGCGAAATCAATTTCCCGGGTCCCCCAGGCCCCGCGAATCGATATACGCTGGGAAGTGATTTGTGGACAAAGGGTGGCTTTTTTCAACACGGCCAGTTGTTGCTTTCACTGCGCGCAATTATTGAAACGGTAGATAGATAAATTTCTAAATTGAAAACGATCGTGGCGGCGAAAACGAGGGGTGCAAAGCGATCATGCGCCGGCAAATCAGTTATGAGTAATGTGAAATTTGTTCCAAATCAGACTAGCAAAATTGCCCTCAGTGATTGCATGGGTATTTTATTACATGCATAGTTAACGACCATCCTACGCTTGTACACCCTGTTATTACCATAAAGCTTTAGTTTGCATCGACCAAAATCTGCAATTGATCAAGGCAATTCTAGTGACATTTTAAGCCAATTTTTTATCTATATGATTAATTACTAATAACTTGAAACGAGGAAAGTACCCTCCGATGGTCGGCGGTCGTGAGAGCAAGCGGACCTTGAGAGAAAGTTGAATCCGGCCACGCGCCGGAGAGAAGGGTAGCCGCAAATTCTCCGTTGGAGAGAAAATTTACGCGATCTTGTCTGGCGTGTGTAGAATAGCCGAAGCGGAGAATACATGGGTAACGGGTACGAGTCGGGTCTGATTCACGTTCAACCCGGCGTGAAATGCATTCGCGGCGAATGAGAATCCCTGGTTGCCGGCGGTAGGAGAAAGCCGACGCACGCCAGAGGAATCCGAAAGCGGACGGATGGATACGATCCTGGCGAATCCCGAATCCTCCTCAATATTGCTCGAGCACTCAATTTCCTCCCTATTAAGCCGCCGGCCGCTCTGCCGGCGTTCACCCTGTCTCCTTTTCCCCTCCTCCGTCCGTCTCTCTCTTTTTCTTCCTATCCCTGTTCCACTTGCTTCACCTCTCTAATCTACAGCACCTACCTTCTCCTCCGCTGTCTATCCCTACCTCATCCCTTGAATCTTATCCGCAGTCTTCCTGCCCGGTTTCCAGGCCGGATAGGTTATAGTGTTACGGCGCACGAGCACCGACTAATCAGCATTCCTGCTACCCAACTGCTTTCGACCCCTACCGACCCGCTCGGCTATCCCCTCAAGCTCACCCTCTCAGACTCTCAACCCTCGACTATAGAAACTTCTACGGATCCGCGGTGTTGTTGGGGTACGTGCGGCAAATCCTTAGCAGAATTCGAGGATTCCGCGCGCTTTAAATCGCTTCCTTTCGCTTCGTCTCTCTCCTCTCTCTCTCTCTCTCTCTCCTTCTCTCTCCTTCTCTTTTTCCTGGAAGTAGATACCTATTTTCCTTTTCCGTTTTTTACACGTTCCTTTACTCGTTTCGCGCGGTCCCTCAGCGCATCCTGGTGAGGCGAGGGTTTGCAAAACTTTGAAACGCCTCGCGAAAATCGTGTACGTGCGTCTCGCGCGAGAGACCACGAAAGGAGACGCGAAATCGTTTGCGTATCCTCCTGAGAGTTGAGAGATAGTTTTTTGCAGAGATTAACTTCCAGCAAATCAGAGTTTTTATATTGTAGAAGTGTTCTATAGTTGAATTATTTTTATTTCTTCTCTTGATGAATTATAACGCACTTTTCCACCTCAGTGTTTCACGTTATGGATGATATATAAGTTCCACAATTTTATGCAATTCATATGCAATTTATCAAATCTTCCACCCGTCCAGACTTTACATTATTTGTCTCACACTGCCAGAATTTTATCCACTATATTAAACGTTTTTACAACGTTCATGTATCAGTTATCATTTAATCAGCTGTACACTTCACGTTATCTTAATATCGTATTTGTGCGTCAATACTTCGTTATCGAAAATTCATACGATTTGATAATTGGATTTTCGAATCATCATAATAAATCGTATCAATATATACGTATAACAAAATGAAATATGTTATCTGTATACAGGGTGTCCCAGAAAAAGTGTCAGAGCTGAAAAGGGATGATTCCCGAGATATTTTTGAACAAGTTCCTTTGGTAAAATGCAAAGTGAGCCATGGTTTTTGAATTATTAACGAAAAATGCTGACCAATGTGAGCTACGGGTAGGTTGGCTCGGATCGTGACGCTCGGCCGTAGCTTACCGCGGGCCCTACACGTGCTCTTATTGGTCAGTGTTTTTCGTTAATAATTTAAAAACCATGGCTCACTTTGCATTTTACCAAGAGAAATTGTTGTCCAGAAACACTTACAGAATTACCTCTCTTCGACTCTAACACTTTTTCTAGGACACCTTGTATATTTGTCAGTCAGTTATTCAACTAAAATCAGTTCGAAGAATCAATTTTAACCTTGCACTAAGTAAATGAATCGAATTGAAGTATATGCTACTACGTATTTTCAGTCGAAGTCGTGTTCCAAAGAAGAAATATTGAATTAACATAGCTAAAGTCATACTTGTCCTTCTGCGAAAGCATCGTATCGATTGCGGAACAATTTCAAGCATTAAGTACCCGTGAAATAAAATCAGCTGCTTATAAAGAAGATGGAAGTTCTCAATGCTGCTGACGTTCATAATCTAGCCTAGTGTAGAGAGCGCGCGGTGAGACGAAAGACGCTTTTCAAGCGTCAACGATGCATGATATAGAGAAGAAGGTTAAGACGATCTCGTCGAGATCTTTTAGTGGGCACTAGCTCCACGGATGGTTGAGTCAGCAGGCGGTGGCAACGACACCGACGACGGAGTAAACTGCTGAGAAGAAGCCTGCCGCCTCGCGGTGCGTCGCGTCGTCGTGCAGCGCAGGTGCACGAGATGCAAGAAGGCATCGTGCGAGGATGAAGAGGTTCGTAATGACTTCCTCCTTCGCCGCCACTCACAAAGGAAACACCCCTTTCACGCTGCATTCGGAGTGCAGAAATTTCAAATTGAAATAACTCCGTTTTACCCGCGCTTAAACTCTTTCCTCTACCGGAGGTAAATTGGCCGAAGGGAATGAAACCAATAATTTATCATACAGAGTACTATATGTCTTTTGTGCATTTCGAGGAGTTTGTGTGAAGAATGTTCACATTCGTTTGTTGTATCATTTTTCATATTCTTTTTACTTTGGTATATTCTATGCTCAAAGATGTTTTATTTCTCAATAGTGTTTGTGAGATTATATTTAAATATGACTAAAAAAAAATGCAATCTCAGAACGCAATTCTTATAACAATTGGTTACCAGCTAAATATATTTAAAAATTTCATATGACTTAGTCTTCTAAGATTTTAATTATATAAAACTTCAGTTTATTACACGCAAGCATTCAAAATTCTGATCATTCCTCCACACATTCAGTCTATCCAAGGGGGGATACTTAGAAACGAGCTACATTCACGAACGGGCCAGTAAGTGATTCAGTAGTTGAACGGGGAGTAAAGTTGGTCGCAATCATTGGCGGAATCTCGCCACAAATACGGAAATGATCTTCCCGATGTGAATCGTCCGAGACGTCTGCAATGCCGCGAATACTGGCATGTCAGCCCTCGGGCCAAGATTATTATCGTTACCAGCTATGTAAAGCACGGGACGTTTCTTAGGCGGCTTCCAGACTTCGAGCTAAATCTGCGGGAAACGTTTATCCCGCCACTTTCATCCCTTATCCTCGACAGTTATCCTCCCTCTCGTTTCATCTCGTTTCGTGGTGCGTTTCATTTTAGCATGTGCGCATCCTTCTCTTTCTCCCCTCCTCGTTTATGTATTCCGTGGGTGGCTCAGGGAATCGCTCGACGCTCGGTTATTATATCGTTAAACCATTTAATTATCTCAGCAAACAACTTTCTAGGAATATTCGGGTCAGGCTTTAACGAGTGTACACGGTTTGCGAAGGGTTGCTCTCTTTCCCTCTTCGTCTCTACCACCGAAAATGCCTTTCCTTCCTTTCCTCTCCGCGTCTTCTTACGTTGTGTGCTTTTCGTTTCCATTTTCTTCAGCTTCAAAAAGGTTTTTGCACCACACTCACAGGTAACCAGATAGTTCTCTATTTACGTAGCATTCGAAACCATTAAATGTTTCTATATTTTTAGACGTTTGTTAAAATAATTTTAAATTTGTTAAGAAAATTTTGAAGGATAATTCGCGGTTTGCCTTAATAGGAAAACAATGGAATTGTCAAAATGAAAGATGAATTAACGTGTAGTAAAAACTGCAAGAATAGCTATCTTTATTTCTCAATTTGCTCGGTCGCTGAAACTCGACCGACGCCATCGTGTCGGGCGAACTAACAAAGAAACTACTTAGGTACCTAGGCTAGGCAAGGGATGTACGTTTATGGTTTCGGTGGAAACTTTTCACCCTCGCCATCTCGTTCCGGCTTCTTCTCAAAGGTTGCATAAGACCCGAGCGCACTTGTTTCGTACTTTCGGATTTACTATAGCTCTGGCTGTCGGCTGTAGAGAACACCGAGGGGTTATTTAAACGCTACCTCCGATGAAAGTTTGCCACCGTGATTTGTGTGCTCTGCTCGTGGAAAGTTATGTCCCTCGTGTAACGAACACAGGGATTCTCTACTCCGCTCGAAATAACTTAAAAAAATTAAATTACGATCGATGATTGCGGTATCTTTTTTCTCTATTTCTTCCTATGTTTTTACCTGCTTCCAAATGTACCGAAGATAACGGGGGTGAAAACAATTATAACATCAGTTTCGGTTTTTGAAACAATTATGGAGAAACGAAAAAATGTCGTAAATCTAAATATGTAGGTTCTGAGTCACATTTCAGTTTCGGTTTCAGTTCTTCAGAACCGATACTATGTCGGTTCTACATATATTTCTACATACATATATCCGTTCGTTATGTGTTCAAAGTGTCGACTACAGATACTTACGACCGAAGATAATTTAGGAGAAAGTCACGTTAATTCGTGGTAGGAAAAACTTGATTATTCCGATGGAAAAAATCGAACGATATTTAACCCTCGAGATTAGCAGGTGTTTCTCTTTTTGTATGTTCCCCGAGAGGATTACATTGGCGATAAGATCGATCAACGGAGGCGTGTTTCATCATTGTTCAATGATGTTATTTCGATTAAGCCGATCGGTCAGCACTTATTCTAAGAGATGTGATATCGGTTGTTTTATTAGATTTCTAGGTTGGCGATTGGACGTTATCTTGAAATCTGTGTAAACTTGCCAATTATCGCTAATCGCGTATTGAACATGAAAAGAGTTATTTTTTACATTTTAATCGACAAGATTGTACAAGCTCTTTATAAATATCGCTTTCGCGATGCAATGTAACTACAAAAATAGGATTGTATTCGATGGTTATCTATCTATATTGTATTTCTTCAAGCCTTCAATCTTTTATTTTTCAGATATTAAGGAATATAAGTACTAATGCAGTGTTTAGAAATTTCATTTTACACTATGATTTTCGACTGAATATATAAATTCACTCTGTACACATTTTTATTTTGTACAGAACGATATACAAAATTCTGTTTTGATTACAGCAACAAAGGCCAGACCTGCCCAGATTGTTGCAGCAAGTACATGCTCAGCAGCTGCCACCGAGTGCCGCGATGGGTCCGCACCCAGGTATAGCCGGACTCCCTGGTCTCGGTCCAGGAGCGGGACTTCCCGTACCTACGTCGGCATCAGCAGCCCTTCTCGGATTAGGCATCCCACCGGGTGCGGCTGGTTCCGCCGGCGGTACAGCTGCTCACCCCCTGTCGATGTTGACGAAACCAGACCTCCACCGGGGTCAGCCCGATGACCTGAAGCACAACGGGGGTGAGTAGTGTCTTTTGATTCACAGATTTGTTTGCCTTGCTATTTACGTAGGATATGTGTACCGAAATATTAATGCAAATCTGAAAATTGATTATTTTCATGACGCTGTTAAATATAGGAAGATCTTGATCTGAAAAATAGAGATTGAGTATTAAATTTGTATGGTTTTTTTTTTAATGATATAAATTAAAATATGTTTCATCTTGATTCATTCAACGATGTGTTTATAAAAACGATCAACTTCTTCATTTTTATTGGAAATATACCAGTTACGTACATTTTATATGTATAATGGTCAAGATTGCGTTTAAATAGCCTTTTATTGTATATAATTCTAGTATCAGTTCATTATTTATTTCAATTATATTATTATCGCGATACGTGCATGGCATTAGATCATCACGTCTCTTGAGTATTATAATAGAAAATTCTCGACAAGGTATCTTGATATCGAGTAATCATTGGAAAACAGATTCGATTTACAAAAGTCGCTGTCCTTGTGTCTTGATGCATTTTAGTGACATCAGCAGCTTGTCGGCGGTGTACATATTTTGCGTATTTAATTCGAAGAAAAATTAACTCATTCGGTAGGTCGCGTTTCTTGTGACTCAGCTGCTCATTTTTCTCCCGCTCGGTTTTATCACTGTGTTCGGTTTATCATATTCACACACGGTTTATCATTTGAACCTTCGATGTATGAGAATTCGCAATTGGATCCTCGCGAAACGATTTTTGCGCTTGTTACCGTTTTGCACTTCCGTTCGATTCAACACGAGCAAACAGAACCGCCCGTTCAGCAGCTCGGATAGGGCGGCAGATTAAACAGCGAAATTATGTAATAAGCGTTTCATGCTTCCTTTCCACTTCTGTTAACGCTGTTATCTGTTCGCCGTATTGGTGGGTCGGTTCGTTCATCGTGCTTGTTCTATTTCTTTTGCTAATTAAATAATTGACGTGTAGGTGGTACGTTTTCCGAGACACGAGTGGCATTTAACCCATTAAAAATGAATAATAACAGTTTGATATTAATTTGTAGAAAATCAATTTTTTTGCCATATTATCAGTTCCTAATTGTTGAACTTTTAATTCATGGAATGACGTGTCGGTTGTCAAAATGTCAGAGGTTAATCGTCAAGATTTAAAAATCAAAAGCTATTAAACCATTTTATATTTGGATTGAAAAGTATTTATTTGGAATTTTAAATAACGCGTGGGAGTCAGAGATGACTGTTTCACTTGTGTTCTCGGTCATTAAACTTCTGCGTAGTTAGTTATTTTCCAAAGTATTATTCATCACGGTGTTCACTTCCTGCCTGCCGTAGTGCAAATTCAGACGGAGTACCGAGTGACTCATAGTGAGCAAAGACTAAACTTGTTTAACATCTATAATGCATACATAATACATATTCAACTACCACAGTCTCGTAAGAGGACGACGTTTTGTATCAACACCGTGTAATACGCGGAGTCATTAAATCAATTTACTTGTCGTCGTAAAAATGTGCTACTAAAATAAATTCAATAAATTCCATTATACAATCATACCATTTGGTCGCATCATAAATTATAATCAAATCTAAATTCCAAATTGTTATCAGGTACAAATTTCTAACTGCATTATCAATTAATGCGCCATAATTGAAGATTATATATCCGTTATAAAAAGGATGCACAAATACAGATATCATGTTATTTGAATATGAGACATATGCTTAATTGAATCAGTAACTGAATATATATTACAAAGGCTTAAGATTCTAAATGAAAATATGTCTAGAATTTGCACATTTACAAAGTTGCGTCAACGATTTTATTGAAAAACGATCAATTTCTAAAATACCAGGAAACTTGGTGATAATGTGATATGTACACATATATAGGGGTGAAAGGGCGAGAAAGAGGAGGATGAATGCGCATATATCATACGACATACGATGTATATACCGGGCACAGGGGACATTTCAAGCGATACGACGGTGACGCAAACGATCGTGCTTAAGCCTGGAACTCGCGGAAACCCTCGATCTTGACCTCGAAGATCCACTTGCGCGTTCTCGTCCCTCTCCTTGGGACGATACACGAGTGCAAGAACGTTCGCACTTAGGCTCCATGTAGCGCTGACAAAGTCGCGAGGGCTTCAAGTGACTCTCCTATCTCGCGCACAGGAACATGCCGTGTACTCCCGTTCACAAGTACGCTTGGTCAATTTTGAGTTTAGAGTTAACTAGACTTTCGTAAAATCTAGAATTAATTTTAAATCTCCATAATTCTTAGAGATTGATTAATATGAAGAAGAATATAATAATTGTCATTTGAAATCAGTCTCGAAGTCTACTTTTTGGAATTTGAATTTGCAGATCTGAAGCCGATAAATTTAGACGCGTTTGAAAACCTAAAACAAAATTTTTGATTAGGTCTAAGTTCTGATATTTATTTTATAAGCTGACTTATGAGATGGAGTGTACATGAATAGGTTGGCTGGTCTGTCCCATCTCTTTTCTTCCATATGCAACGCGCGTCCTCCGCTTCTCGTCGACCCTCTTGCTCGCGCACTGTGCATGGTCGTCGCTCAAGAGACCACTCAGAATCTCCTCTTGACACGAGAGTACTTCCGACTCTTCCCCTCTGTCGTTCCCATCTGCCTCTAGGTAGCTCTTCTAAACCTTCGCGGCCTCCGCCCGTATTTCTCATCCTCTTTTCGCGCTCTCGCGGGCGTGTCCTTTCGTCCTCCTTGTCTCACCCTTTCCTCGCACTTTGTTCTCTCACCCTTTCTTGCCCTATTAGCTTCCTCTGTCGTTCTACTGTTCTATCATGTTCCACTTCCTCTCCTTCCCTTGCTCTTTCTCATTCACTTTCATCTCTCTTCGTCTTTCTCATTCTGCGTTTATTTCCACTCCACACTATGCGCTTCGTTTTTCGCTTCTCATTCCTCGTTCCTCTACTTTTTTCCGCAGTCCTTTCACATTCCACTTGCTACCACCCGAGCAGTTATCGTTCTCGCGCGATATAGTATATCCACCTCCAACCACACTCTCGCCCTATGTTACCGCAAGCCTAAACCTAGCTCCGAATATGTATAACCTTCGATCAATTATTCCATATTGTTCCGCACGTTGTCGGTTGGTTTTAATGAAATACTAGGTCTAGGTTGTGCATTCTTTTATAACCATGATCCACTTCTACTTGTCCGATTTTTACACATCAGCGATCAACTAATTAAAATTCAAAATTACTAAAACCAGTTTCCATTATTATGAAAACTAATATAATTTTATATATTCAATGATTGTATGAATAATAATTAGAAAATAGTTTCATCTCATTTTAAGAAGAGCAAAACACTCATACGAGCATCCTGCAAATCATTTGAACGCAACGGGATCACAAGAAACAATGTTCTCGTCACGAAAGAAGTTCAGTTATACACTTTGCGGGCAGGATGTACATCTCTCTTTTCTGTTTCGACACGAGTCCCGGTTCTTCTTCCCATTCCGGGGGAAACTGCGGCCACACTTTACGAACAACCACGACATCTGAAATCACTGTCTGGCCGTTTCGCGACGCGCCTTTTCTCCCTTCGTCGGTGAACGAAACGGAAGGGGGACGGGAATCTCGTCGACACCCTTTTGAAACCGGGAAGCAGCACCGCGAGAGGCAAGGAACTGTAATGGGCCACTATTTCTGTCGCGGCAACTGAAACTTCTTCTCTCCTTTCCGGAACATTACCCCCAGCGAATTGTTTCCAGCAGGGCCGTTATCGTTTCACCCGTCCTCCTCTTTTAACCGTGTGCTCTTTCTTCTCGTTTCCTTTTTTCAGCCAGGATTTACCCACAATACTCTACCGACCAAAAGTTTAAAATCACTCTTCCTGATTCAATTTATACAAGGTCTCATGATATATTCCAAAATAATTATTCTACTTGGTAGATAATTATAGATAATCTTGGTAAATGTAAAAGGAAATTGTTTCGCCATTTAAATCTCTCGGCATCGTTTCCGGTTTCCCTTAGTTGGTGATTCTCTTGTAGCCATGGTTAGTATTTACAATTAAACTTAAACAGCAGGGGATTTGACCCGTACTCTTGGCCACTCGCAAAAATCACCAGGGTCCACTGAAGCTTCCAGCTTTTGCATGCCTTTGCCTGTACCTCGCATTTACAACTGAGTTTCATCTCCTTAGTTCTTTCCGAGCCTCTAAAAATCTTTGTCGGTTCCCTCGACATGCATCGGTAGTAGAAATACTCCTTAAGACTCTTTTATGGACGATTAGCAAATGATATTATCTACATTACCATTTCAACGTAGATATTTGCACGACTGATGGTTCTCCGGGGAACTACGGAGTAGATCAACCCCTGAAGCGTGTACAGTTATAGTCATAATTCCTCCCGGATATTGTTTTCGCCTTTCTCTCTTGCGCGTTCTTTCCGAATCGAAGGACAGAACGAGTTTGCTTTTCCGGCGATCGGATCGTTAATTCAAGCCCGTATACCTTCCCTACCGGTTCTCTTCATATTCCGGAAGCATTATTTCGCGCCGGAAGATGATAAATTATATAAACGTAATAGCTGCGTAATTCGCGGAGACAATCTGTTGAAAACGGTCAAACCGGATTGTATTCTAGATAGTCTGAGTGATTCTCCTCAGATTTGTATAATATCAAACCTTTACACCGCTAATTGAGAGTTTCCTTATATTTGTATATCCACATTGAAGAATTTCAATGCTTTTCCCTCGTATATTTATTTTTATCGCTCCTAGTCATTAGCATTCTAACTATCGTAGAGAATATTAACTTAAGACAGTCTGTCGTAAATGAAAATATATAGTGATTATCTATTGTATTATTTTTTAACGTATCGTAACGTATTTACAAAATGTATTCCTTTGAAACAAACTAAATACAGTACCAAAGTTATGAATCATTGACATAGTAATGACTGTGTATCTTATCCTTTAATGTAGTCAGTTTACCCTATCTCGCGACGCGACGTTTCCTCTCATCCTTCGCTTGTGACATTTCCCTTCCTCTTATTTTAACGATCGCGTAAAAGTGAACGCCGGAGTGTCATCTCGAGAACGCCATCCCTGCGGAGATGCACGCGCTGTCACGCGGCAAACGAGCTCTTTGCGTTTTAGTGGGAAATTATGCCTGCTCTTCCGCGTCCGTTTACGAGCCGCGCGACGCGCAGGAAGTTCAACGAGGAAAGGGTCCGAGACATTGTTTCCCAGCTGGTCTGGAGGAAATCGAGGGTGCAAGAAAGAGAACGTTAATGTACGAGTTTCACTTGCAAGACGACGGATCTCATTCGATCTTTGTTCCTCCTCGCCGGGAAAACCGGTTGTGTGTGGTCCGCAGTGGAAAATTCACGACCCTTCCTCGTGCTCTGCCACCCCCGACAACTCGGTAATGGCTCCAAGGGTGGAAATCCTTTTACCCGCACGCCACGGTCTTTCCTTAATTTGCTCGACCATAAAACACACGGCTGTCGGCCCGGGCCGTTCTGATACAGATCCATTCAGAAGTATTCAAAAGGACGTTCATGTGAAAAATTCATTTTCATTTTTTTTTTTGGAACTAATAATAAGTGTCAATGTAAGTATTCCTTTATGTATGCTCAAAAACTGAAAGTCGACATATGCAACCTCTTATACGAAGCTTGTTCAGGTATTTATGAATAGCAACCAAATTTTTCTTAAAATATCTTTAAAAAACTAAAATAAAATGTATTATAACATGAGAAATAATATGCAGTTAGTCCAGAGGTGACTTGCGGTATTCAGTTTCGAAAAATAGTCATTGGAAGTGAATTATTTTAATGATTTTTCAATCAGTCGCGAAAATTTTAATAACAAATCGTCGTTCTTTAAAAATCTGTAGAAAGTCTTAATAATTTTTTGCTGAGCTAGAAGATTCAAGAAGATATAACAAATTAGAATTAATTTCGTTTTTCGACTTGCACTCTTTTATAAACAGCTTCATTTCCGGTATTATACTTTCCCGTTTCCTTCGACTGTATTTTCATTTCCACTAACTCGAATATTTGTGAAAGATAGTGTACGTTTTATCGGAGTTGCAGGAGAGCCTGACCACTTCAGGAATTACTTTATTTGTACAACTGGTGCGACGTGATCGCGCCCGGGAGCTTTATGGTGTCGAGTTTTTCCGTTCGAGAATCGTATTGCGAGCCGGATTTCTTGTTTCAGGCTCCCATTTAGTGGTCTGGCAGCAACGTTAACGTTGTTCTTTGATCGTAAACACGTACTATTTTCTGTACTAGAATCTTCGCTGTTTCTGTAATCCTATAACTGTAATCTACTTTTCATTTTAATTATACCCAACATCTTTTTATTTTACTTGTGTCTGATATGGATATTTTTCCTATACATGTATAGAATTGTCAGTACATGTTCCCTTAACCATTTTTGGAATTAGTAGAAACGAGCAAATTGAAGACGACTAGTAGTATTAATTTGGCGTTTAGAAAGTAGTTGTAATAAAGTACCTTGAGGGTATAAAAACAAAGACGTAAGAGTCTACGCTACCTAATAGCGAAGCCATTAAAAAAGAAAAAAGCTTTCGTGTTGAGACGGATCAAGTTGAGCGGAGTTGGACGAAGTTGAATGCTCACACGTCGATGGAAACTTGGCGAAACAGGAATTGATGACTACTTCCCCATGCGCAATAATTAAAACCAATTACTGTTAACTTCTCAGAATTTAGGTAAATGTTCCAATTCTTCTCGGCATGAAGCCAATTAAGTTATTTCATTTCAGCAATTAAAATGCATAGCATTCGTTTCAATTTTTGCAAGGATATGCAACTATTACTTAGTCAAAGGAAAAATTGATCCTAAGTATTTAAAGAACTCGTTTACATAATTTGTAATAAATAATCAGGAGTTAATTCGCTGAATAAAACTTCAGCCAGTTGAAATGTTTGAAAAATAAAGGCAACCTAATATGTCGTATATAGTCGTTAGATCGGATTGGTGAAAAGAACCAAAGGAAAGTAATGTTCACAGGATATTTTCTACGAGACAAAGTGCACCTACGAAAAGTATAAAGAGCGGATAAGAGAAGTAGATTGGGGAAATCGAGCGAGGGCAAACTACGTACCTACTATGAAAGGAGAAACCGGACTCTTTTCCAAGGACAAAGCTCGTTCGGGATCTTCTTCGTCTCGGAGCTCATCTCACTTCGCCCTCCTTTCTTTCATTCACCGTTCTTTCTCGGAAGTCCTCGAGGAAGAGAAGAGTCCGAAGCTGTTCTCCTTCCCCTCCTCGATCTGCTTCCTTTTCTTTTCTTTTATTTCGTTCCTGGCGCGGAAAAGATTTCGCTTTGGCGTACCGCTGACGGTTCACGAGTTAGTTCCGCAATAATCATGAAAAACATTGTAAGGGACCAATTTCCCGAGAAATACGCGGTCTTCCGCGATATTTGAAATGGCTTCAGAAGAAAGGAAATACAAGCAAGAATGCTTCTCTTTTAATAGAACTTCTCGAGTTTGGTAATTAATTTTTTAAGTCGTTTCAATAGCACGTGTTGATATAAGAAAGAAACAAAAGATCAATGAGATTATTTTTTACGATATGCTTGCGTTAATTATTTTCGTGCCTTAGAGGTAACGTTTGTTATTGCGTGGACTAGACTTCGATATCTCATGATATCCGTTTTTAAAAATTAAATCGAATTGTGATCAGTAATAGTTATAAACGTGCATTTCGTTTTCCGTTTTATTCCTCTATTTTTTATTATATTTTTCACTTTTCATTTTGTACCGAACATTTGTAACAAAATAATTGCGCATATGACGTATACGAAACATCGTTCTGTTTTTCAAACTTGAATTTTCCACTCGAAATTCATCAGTATGTCTATTATTATGAATAAAATTAAACATGGGGTAATTTGATTTAAGGTAATTGGTTATTTCAGAAAAATTCGTAATGAAGTCACAAAATATGATATTTTATATGTATACAAGAACTGCATCTACTGTGCTCAAAGAAAATGAGATTCCATGTGCACCAGCTTAATAACTAATAAGCAAGGAAATGATATGAAGAAATAGGATAGGAATCAGATTAAAATGTTGCACATTAGAGTAAAGTTATAACGAAAAAGGCGTTTCAAGTTTAACAGGATCGTTTTATTTGTTGCAGGTCTTAATCCAGCTGAGGAGAGGCATGTGAGTATCATATAATTTAACTTATAGAGAATCATAAATTCGCGATTTCGCCAATCGATAATGGTCTATTAACAACGAATTCGGTTTTGACGGTTTGCCAGAAGTAAAGAATCGTTAAACGAAGGTACAAGGGAGTTTCAAATGTTCGAAGGAATTTTAATAGATGAGAAATTATTAAATTGGGCAGTTTGTGGATTGAGAACAGAAGTTATACGGCGTTTGATTGTGAGAAGAACGATTCCAATCACGTCGAATTTCATCTTTCAGTAAAAAGACATTAGAGTGGGCGCTGTTCGTGTGTGGCTCACGCAGTTGAAAGGGAATATCGGTGAAACAAATAAAATTGGCGAGACGAAAAAAGAAATTGGTCTCGCAGAGGGAAAGAGGGAGCAAGCGAAATTGTGGGGCGTCGATGAAAAGGGGTCGAGGGGGTTCCCGAAGTGGATGAAAGAGTGAAAGAGAGCGGGAAGAGAAAAAGAAAGAGGAGATACGGGTCAGTTGTAGGAGAAAGAGGAGGAAACCTGAAATGGACGTAAAAGCCCGAACACCGGAACACAGGGCCGTAAAAAGCTCGTCGTCAAATGCAACCCCGTTCTTCTCTTTCACTCTATTCTCCTCTGTTCTTCTGCTTGCTTTTCCTTTTGTTCTCTTTCCTACTCTTGTCCTTCACCCCCACTTTCGATAGTGTAAAACGGCTGCTGAGCGCGGCGCGCGCGTTTATTAAAAGCGCTCCGGGCTGGCAAAAAAGGGCTCAAGAGGTGGAACGTCCCCAAGCATGTTCCCGCTTCCGATCTTTCAAGGTTAGTTTCGCGATCGAACGTGGTGAACAGCAAGAAGTGGCTGCAGTCCTGGGATAAATCGATGTCGCCCATCTATCAGGGGTTCTTGACGACGGAAGATGGAAAATGGGAATGATGGCAGTTTCGCTCGAATCGTTTCACATCTTTTCACAAGTATAGCGAAGGAAAGCGGGCAGGGAAATATTGAAATGGAGATTTCAAAGAGACGCTTGTATCAATAACATGATTTACATTACTATATTAGAATCGCTGTCAAAAATAATATTCCAGATTTTCAGCTTACTTTCTAAGGGAAAATCATTTTATCTATCATGTATCATGAGTTAAGAAACATTCCGTATTATTCAGGCTGATGCAACGTGTAATTGATTTCGAAGTGTAACAATCTTTTTGGCGTGATTCTTTTTCGTGGCTTGATTACGGACAATATTTTAATAGCGTCCACACCCAACATAACTTGTACAATTTGACGGGCGGGCGCGGCGGCGCCCGTGGCCAGTGGCCGAGCCGATAATTAGCGTCCGTTTAATATGCACAATTATTACGGATTGATAATCGAGACCGCGCATCCATTACACCGGCATTGAGATAGATGGTAATAGGTTTCCATCGGTATTAGCTCTCTCCCTTCTCGCGTTTCCCGCTTGTTTCTACCCTCTGCCATCGTCCTCCCTCTCTCGCTTTGCCTCTCTGGGGCACGTAATCTCGCCGCGCTTTCATAATGTGTACCGACCGACTAGCGATGGGACTAATTCGATTATCGCTTGGAAAATGTTCAATCTGCATACGGATTGGTGGATTGCGGTAGGCGAAAGACTCCTGGGGAGAAATCGAATTGGAAGAGCTGAATTAGCCTCGATTTGTTCAAATCGTATTAAATCGATTTAAATCGTATACATAATCGTATTAACGAAGTGCAACGTATATGTATGTGTACGGTTTAATGCTTCGGAAAATCAGCATACGATGGTATTTTATAAAATCGTCGACGCATTTCATAAAATATTCAAGTTTGAAGGAAAAAATTCTGATTTTTTCCAAATATTAGTTATGTCAAAGGAAATTGTGTTATCATTTAATAGTTATTCTATGGTAGCGTATAAGTAACGAAGTACGGACGTGCTTTAAGTTTATTCATTTTTCTTAAATATGTGTTCTAAGAACTAATCGAATATAACACAGTTAGTCAACTTCATCACCTTATATAAGAAATTCGTTAGTTAATTATGAACAAGTTTAGTCTTCATAGAAATTCAAGAATTTTATGTATCATGTTTACTATTTATTTTGTCCAATCACCATTACGTCTTGGTACGTATACTCCACAAACAGGACATAATGTTCACGATGGCATCGTTCCCATCGCTATCTCATCGCCATCCCTTTCATCGTCGTCGTTCGCACGTTTCTATCTCTCGTTTCATCCCCTAGCTCCCACTCACGCTCGTTCTAGGTAATCCTCTACCCGTCTCTTTCTCCCCTTCACAGCCGCCTTTGTTTCTCTTCTACGCCTGTGCCTTCCATCGAACTTGTGTTTATCTTCGTTGCACACCCCACATGCCAGCCTTACGAGGATATTCTGAACCCACCACTAGCAACAGCATCAGCCGAGGGCTATGAAATTGAAATATGAATGCTAATGGGGTGGTTGGCTCGTGTCGCGTTGTATAATATTACTGATTGCTAGTACATCAGTCCTTTTACCCTTCTCCCTCTTACACCGCCCTCGGGTTTTCGCTTTTGCTTTCGCATGATGCCACGTCACAGACTGCGTGACGCACGTTTCCATATCTTATTCGCTTGTATATCGTGTAATTGCAATACTTAATAATGATACTTTTCGGCCTGGTTTCATTGTAGTTGAAATGCAACAGGTGCGTACGTATTGGAAACATAAAAAATGAACTTCAGGTAAATTCAAAATAGAAATTAGAAGATGTTATACTAATAGATACAGTGAATGAAAATATACATAGGAGTGAGTTCAAATTTAATAGAATAATTGATCTTCAATTGTACTTGAGAAGTATAGTATACGTTTGGGTCAAAGTTCCCTCCAGGAGAAATTTTTTCGGATTGTGAAAGAGCGGTTCCGAAAAAAAACTGAGGATAGATCGGCGGTAAGACGTTGAAGGATGAAACGAACAGCTTGTTTAGGAAACGGGAAGATAGATCTTACCGGTGCGCAAATAATATAACGACTCGCATTCTTTTCCACTCGTCCGTCCGCGTTCTGGATTCTCCTCCAATTCGCGATATAAGCTTTGTCTCACCTTCTCTTCGGCTTTTCCTTATTTCTTTGCGCAACGATTCTGCTTGAGAACGAAATGACCCGCGCCCCCACGGTCGTTGTATCGGATTGCGAAGAGCAAGTAGGTAAGAAGCCCGAGAACGCGAAGGAAATGCGAACAATAAACAACAACGAAGTAACCGAGAAAGCTATACGATACGACATGTGGAGCAGGAATAAATCTGAAAAAAACGAGGCAAAGTGGTTTGATGGAAAATCAGATTGTTTTCTTCGTCTTACGCAGCACAGGAGCCTTTTACTAAAAACTTTCACTGTGTTTGTACACAGAGAATATACGCACAGCCATCATAAATTCGTAGCATTCAGTTTTTTCTATTAATTTTAGCCAGCGTTTTCTATTAATTGTTCAGAAATTCACAAGACAATTAGAGAAATATTAAGAATACCATTCCAAAAGAAAGAAAGTAGAATATTAAGAAGTTACATAAATAGAGAGTCTGCTCTTTCATTCTCCCTTTTCAATCGAGTCAACCAATTTATGAACTACCGAGAAATGCTTGTTCCCGTGGCTTTCGAGGAGATGAAGAGAGAGCACGAAGGGAGAAGCCAGGAATGACTGCAGAATATTTATTTATCGCCGTCGCGTCATGGAACAGACGTCTCCTTTTTTCTCTATTTTTTCCAAACGGGAGGACGTTCACAGGCTACTGCTAGCTGCTGATGAGAGCGAAGCCGCGATAAGAGGGGATGGAAGAGGAAGAGAAGCGAGTTCCCTCGAGTTGCACAAGCACGAACTTAATTGAATTTCACGATACTTACGGCCGATCCGAGTAGCTCGCGGCAAATTGTCGCGAAAGCGAGTGGCCCTCGATGCCATGTCGGTGAGAAAAATACTCGAGAAACGGCGCCGCATTAATTTTGCGGAGCAGGTAATGCCGAGCTGACATCGAGAAGGGAATTCCGTTTTCTACGAGCAGATCGCGACCGATCAACGAGCATTCTTTTATTACATGGAAAAAATCCAGCATATGATAAAATTGAAGTGTTGGTTAATTTCCTCTTCTATTTAATTAATTAAAATTTATTCGCTTAATAATTGTGTTGATTGGGGCCATGAACGAACCTCGATAATTCCCTGTTGATCGAGTCACGTTTTTTCTTTGCGAAGCAGCGAGTTTTCAGCGTTAATTAGCGGAACAACGAAGGTGAAAGCGAAGGGAGTGAAAATTGGTCGATTAGTCAGCTTTAAAGATCGTTTCTCGATTACTCAAGCAAACGCTGGTATCATCAGTGCGCGCTACTTTTAAAATACCAATCGCACAAGGATTTAAGAAATTTTTTTATTCTCGAGCTTGCTATCAGTATATCATTACAATTATAAACAGTCGCTATCTATTGTTAACCCTAATTAAATACTTTCCCACGATATAATTGTTGTTTGCTGCTCTTAGTCGCGTTATTTCTTTTCTTTGGTAACACGCGTTTTGCAAAATCACTCTGTTGACTATCGTCTACTTTTTTGTACCGTTTTTTTTAATCCTATCACTGAATTGAGCGCACAGCAACGAGGCTGACGCTCGAAGGTCGGTAAATTAAATCTCGAATAAAGTGCAAATAAACGAGTGAGGGTTGAAAGGCGGGGTGGAAAGAGGGAGGAAAAACAGGGGGTGTATTACGTAGCCAGTGTCGCTGGCTGCTGACTGGTGGTTGAAAATGCGATGCAAAAAAAGCGACGAAACGAGGGTCGAAAAAAATGTGGCGTGGCACGGGGATAGGGCGTGACGGATAAAAGAGCGAACTGACGCGAGAGTGTAATTTATTTTAATTAGAGTGGCTACATTATGTAAGCGGGTTGAAGCACCGATGAAAGGGTTTGAAAGGGTCGTGGGAGAGAGATACTGATGCCGAAGCACGACTAGCGTTACGCCCTTCCCACCCTCACTCACTGCCCCTGGGATAGACTCCTCCTGGCCAGGGTCATCCCTAATTGAACGTTTGAAAAGTCAATTCACGCACAGGATTGACAGAGATGATTTTGTCCCGCCACGCGACTACTGCTCTCGTTCGATTATTTGTAACATGACTGGTTCATATCAATTACTTTCTGATCCGATCAGAGCGAATGTAGAGAATTCATCTATTTAGGAATGAGGGAAGTTCATTTTTGTGTATTTGGTTGAATGAGAATTTTTATGTACTTGGATTAATGTTCACCAAAAAATGTATTTTATACTTAAATGGGGAAGATGAAGCTCGAGTTGGGGTGATATAAGGCAAGGATTTATCTGGTAAACTCGATGGAAGCGCAAAGAGAAAGGCTCGCGTGCACTGATGCGAAAGAGCGGAAGTGATTCTCAGGGGCCTCGAAACGGTGAACGCTCATCTCCAGAAACACCGAAAGGGGTTGTTCTTCCTCTCGGCGGACAAACAGGGTAGAGAACTTGCCGATCTCGGCTGCCTTACCGACACCTCTGATCTCGTTAGGGACGCATTAATTAATTTACAAGATGGCGGAGTAGCGCGGCGGCAGGATGACGACGGCAGACTATAAGAGAGGCAACAGCCACTGTGTAAAGTCGAGATAGAGGAGAAGGTCGCTGGCGGTAGAGCACGGCACGTTTTAATTACTAATTGAAACGTTCCCCTGCCTCGACGGTCTCTCTCCCTCGCTCGTTCTATTGTAACCAGCGGAGGCCCCGTTGCTTCCTGCAGCGCTTCAATCCCATAACTCTGCTTCCTCTCTGGCACCGTCGACGCGCCGCATCGTCGCTTGCCCCCTTCACCAACCCCTTTTACTATCTCATCTTCTCTCTCACTCACTCTTCGCCTTTCGTCTCTTCGTCGATTTTACCCCACGGCTCTGTCTTAATATCCGTCTCCGTCGGGGGTACTTAATATTTTTAAATACTTTGCAGTACACCCTTCTCCTTCGTCTTTTGTCCTTTTTTCTTCGGTCTCGTCTCCCTCGGTAATATTCACCCTCGGAGGACGACACGACGCTTTCGAACCCCTCGTTTCTCGCGACCAACGCATCGCTCTGGAATTTATGAGAAGGTAAATCCGTAGCTGCCGCGAATTAATTAATTAAAAACATCACGCCGCCTTAATGATATCCGCCCTCGTCCCCTTCTCTCGTCTCATTCTCCACCGCTCTCTGACTTCGTCGTTGTCTGTCTGTTCAATCTCCTTACTTAGCGCGCTAGATTAGACATCCAGCACAAGTCATGGTTAGTAGTACATAATAGTTTTAAGAATTTAATATTTATGTATTAATAGCAGTAAGAATAAAACATTCATATTGATTCTGCTTATCGAGAAATGGGACACTATCTCAGAACAGTGTCCGCGATGTTCGGAGGCGCGACCGAGTGCAAAATTTCAACAATGCCGCGATGGCGAATCGCTTCGCTTCGCTCTTTTGAAATCGATTTGTTCAGCTTGCAGTTCGTTCCGCTTTATGCTCTACGGTATTTACGCGTAAGCTATTCATCGCGGCCATATTAATTTAATTGCAAACCATGGAACTCTGTTCCTCCGCGTCGCACTACGTTGCTTGGTGCGAGAGCCAGGAAATCGACGCGTATGCCACGCGGGCGGCGTGGATAATCAGGCGATTCGTCTCGTCTCTCGAGAACCATCGTGATTCGAAGTCCGCATCGAACAACTGAAATCCGTCTCGTGTTCACATCAAGACACCGTGTCCTTTTCAAATTATATTGTTGAATAAATTCGTTTGGTACATGGATGTTTCACAGAATAACGATTGCATTGAAGTTGCCTTAGACTTGCTTTATGAAATGGAAAAATTGATAGACCTGGGAAGAATTTAATCCGACATAGTTCCATTGATGTGATAATATATCATAGAATATAGATTAAAATGAAATCAGTATGTAATGATTAGAAAGAAAAGGCAATGATCTCCGTCTGTTTTAAAGCTTGAGATATTGACATAATAAGTGGCGTATGTAGCAGCCTTTAAATATAAGAATTGTAACAAAATAAGTTCAGTAACATAGGTTGGGAAAATGAATTTTTTCCGTGGTCGAGGAGTGTAAGGGATAGCGCGAGACACTCGAGCCAGATGGAAGGCTATCAAGTCTCGAGGGGCGGCGTAGTTAACGCACACGCGTAAGCGTACGTCTCTCTTTTACGACTCGCGGCACGTTTAACAGCCGACTAAGCTTTTTAATAATTCGCCGACCGGTAATTAGTTCGTAATTTAATGAGGCGGCCGTAAAACTCCACCCGGCGGCTACCCGAGTCGCTTCGAACCGCCCCGTAATTACGTCTCCGTATATATTTCACAATATAGTCGTTTCAGAGAGGTGAACGCGATGTCGTGTTTTTTCGAGTCCTCTCTCGCAACCGGAAATGATGATCCTGGGTTAGTAAAAAGAGATTTCGACGTCGATGTGTATAAAAATGAAGTTCATTAGTACACGAGTGTTGTGTATTTTTAAAATATTAATTCCTTTAGTTCTAGTGAACTGAATTATGATTTTGCAGAATTTATCTAACTCATACTTTTTCACATTGACAGCCACATCTACGACAATTTATTAATTTATATCAAGGGGCTAGGGGTAGTTACGTGACTTTTCTAACACTTGTCTGTAAATTTACATTTTTTGCTATGTTTTACCGATAATCTAATAAACTCAATGCAAAATATGGGTTCAAAAGGAAATCGTTTACGATTTTTTCCTATCTTCCATTAGTTTATTCGAAATAAGAACAGCACACGTAATTTCACTCAAAACGAAGAGCGAAATGCGAATGTAATCACCGCTCATCCCACGTCTCGTCGACACCGATCCCCGGCTATCAATATACTCTCACCGTATTACAGGATGTATCACGCGAAATTCATCCGGCATATCAGTGTACATCGCACCGGGAATCCGTGTACGGTCGAAAGTAGAGGCAGGCTGCACTTTCGAGGATCGACCATAATTCACCTATTATCAATAGCCGGGCGCACCGTGTGGCTACACATCGAGCAACACGTGTAAGACCGAAAACGGACAGGATCATAGGTCTCGGTTAACAAGATTCCTAAATGCAATACCGCGTAGCAAGCCTGTTACGTTAGGGATAGAATCAATTTCAATGTGCTACCAATTCTAAATCAATTCTGAGAATCAAGTGTTGATATTAAAAATAAGACAGTGGAAGTGATGAGTTGGAATGTGTTATTAATTATTATTATTTGTAAGATTCTCATGAATCTCTTGCGCCACATAGTAATGATCTTTCATGTATATGCAAATCAGGTAATTGGTATTTCAAAGTTATAAAACAATATGACATTTCTGCATCAGATAACATAACATACATGGAGACATAAGACAGATGAGAATTCCATATAATGTGGTCAATTTCATTTCGCTAAATATTTAATATATGTATATATTTCTATATTTGACGTTGACGTTTGTTAATCCTATCATGCAATGGTGCAGCGTCTAACATCTCGCGCCGTACGAGATACTCTACTCGTCTTTTTACCGGAATATAAGGTTGCCATAAATCAGTGGTTCGATCGGCAATGAACAGCAGGTCGATTTTTTCTTCTCCTTCATCTTCCCGCATTCTGCCTCTCAGTCTTGAACTCGATTTTTTTCCTGCACTCGATCTGCCGGTTTTAGCCAATGCTACGCCACCGGGTCGCCCATTAACCAGCTTTTTTGCGTTGTGTAATGACCTTAAAACAGCCACGGTTACGAAGCCATTCGTTAAGGCCTGCGCGCCAGTAATCACACGAGAATGCACCCCCTCTCCCCAGGCATTGTTGCGTACGACCTTTTATTTCTCTTGTTTTTTTCCACTCCGTTAAGTTTTTACATTATTCCGTTTCTCTCTGATCTTTAGCGAGCATCAAAAGTATATAGACTGTCTAATTACAAAGTAAATTGATATAAACCAACGTAAGTTCTAACTACAAAAATAGTACTTATAGAATTTTGAAAGCGCACGAACATACATTTTATTGTTACTTAGATTTTTTTCAAACGAATTTTGCGTTATACAATTTCTGTACCTTGTTAATCGTGATTCGTGCTGTGTCCTCGTTTTTCCCTCGCGGTTTCGTGTCTTCGTCGACTTCTAATTCAACCACTTGAACGGTTTCTTTGGTTATCCTTCTCGACCAGCTCGTTTCGATTCTCGTTTTTCTTGTCCTTAGGATCCCGTGGCCGAGAGTGGAGCAGTTAAAGAAACGGGCGAGATAATAGAGGCGAAGCCCGGCACGCGAAATAAAGCGACGATCGTAATCCACCGCAGGCTTTTCAATTACCGGAACTCTCTTCCTTGTCTATCGTGTTTCGTGCTTCCTTTTTTCATACTACTCTTCTGCTCGTTCGCCCTTCAGCTTCTAGGTGCGTCGTCCTCCGTCTTTGACTATCGTATCGTCCGTTTGACGGAACTGTAAATATGTTTTTTCCAACCTTTTCCTTATCTCTTTTCCTACGAGTTGAGTATTTAGTCCAGTTTCCGTGACGGCCAATATCCGCCCGAGAAAGGTATCATCGGGACCTTCAGAAACCCCCTGCTTTTGCATACTTTCATCCATACTTCCGACTTACGACTGTAGCGCTGCATTTCACGTCACGTTAACTCTTCACATGCTGAAGATTGTTGACCCTGTGGTTATATTATCGCTAGTGAGGGCAGACCTTATTGTTAGTGGGGAGGATTTTTATACCAGACTAATTTGTTAGCTCTTTACTTTTATTCCTCTTAATCCTATAATTTTCTTCTTTTACTCTTTCATTTCAATTTAACTCTGTTTCACTTACGTCGTTGTAACCCATGGTTTTTATTTCCCTTTGTACCGTCCCTTTCTCCACCGACGATCGAGAGCACTCGTTCGCCCTTCCACGTATTCTCGAAAAGCCACCGTCTCTTGAAAACCTCACTCAGCTTCGAAAATCAGCGAGAATCTGGCGTCTCGACGCTTTTCTCGCCCTGGCATTCTCGTCGACGTCGTTGGATAGAAGTACTTATTCTTTACAGTATGTTTCACAGCTAGTTCTCTATTCGTCTCAGTTTCTCAGCTCGTATGATGATGTAAAATCATTCACAGAATAACTGTACGTCTAAGTTAAGATATTGACTAGGGTTTTAATTTTTAGTTGATTGCGATAAATTTAATAACTTCACTAATTCAAAGGTTTTACTAGTTTTACTTTCTGTTAATTGATGTGCACCTATTGAGTTTGGTTTCCCATTTTGTTTTTTTTTATTAAAATCCGATAAATCGTTTCTAGTTAACTTTTTTCTTTTATTACACCGCAATTTCTCCGACAATTGGCACACACCACCAAGGAAGCTTGTTATCGACGAAGCAAATTCAATCTCCGAAAAATATCTACCGTCGTCCCTCTCCTATGAGCGCAGACGTTCAATAGCCGGAGCCTATCACTGAAGCTATCGTCAGTTAGGGGCAATTTTCCACAACACCACCGCTTTCTCCATGCACATGTATACACACAGTTACGTTGTCCGCCTAATGGAAAAAGAAAGTGGTTCGTCGCGGTTTCTGTATTCGATAAAAGCGAGCGCGCGGTCGGGTAAACAAAACGGGCGGAAGACGCGTAAAATAGAATTGGCAAAAACCGGAAAGGCTGAAAATGTGAAGTAGATAGCTAGAAGGAACAATACGAAGCAAAAAACGAAACAGTTCCATGCACATACTGCGTTGATTCTTGTGGTATCGATACACTATCGATGTAAAACTGTCGCTTTTGTGGTCAGAAGTAATTGGTCTCGACGGTAATGTCAGAGGGAGGGGATGAGGGGTTGGGTCGCTTTGAGGTCGACGGGAATGATAACAGTAACAATAATATCGATCACTCAGGAACATTCATGGCAAGAACACGGGACGTAAAGGGATTTTGTGCGCAACAGGGAACGAACGGGTGAGCGAGGGTGGCTACTGGCAATTAGAGATGGAATCAATTTCTATACCAATCTATACCACCTATGGCAATCATATTGTTACATTTATACAATTAGTTAATATTGCTAGATTTATATCAAAACTACGTGTGCCGTTTAATACCTGACAAACCATGAATTTCTTTTCAAATGGTAACAATCGAAATCTAAAATCAGGATATGAGAATTTAGAAATACAATAATAAATGTACAAATGATGCTTTAGTAAAGTACAAGATTTCTGAGGAGAATCCATTGGAGGAAGACAAAAATCTCGTCTTAATTTTTGAGGAATATTTAGGAGTTCGGATCTATTCATTGCCGGTGAAAGTTTAAACCTACTTGCGAGGTACTTAATCCCAGCGCTGCATACCGGTGACGGAGTTCTCGGAGAGCGTTGTTGCATAAAATTGTAAAGCTCGGCACCGACGGTAGCGGCGTCGTGGCGAGATAGCTGCAAACAGAGGCGAGTTAATTTAAAAATGCAAATTCCATCGCCCGGCTCCGACCGATGCGAGTAAAGCAAGAGGGTGCTCGACCGGAGGACCGAAAATGAGAAAGAGGGACACACGGTACACGGTGTTCCGCAGTCACCAGTAGAGAGAAAACTGTGTGAAAAGAAAAAGGGTGGAACACCGTCACGCTATTATTTCCAGCTATAGATTGTACGTTTGTTGGGTGAAGTTATCGAATTGTTATCTCCTCACCAGAATTTAAAATTATATTCTATAGTTCAATCTGTTTATGTTTTTATACAATTGGAGTCATCTAAGAAAAATAGAAAATCTATTATTCCTGCTTTATTCTGTGTAGTCTATGACATTAAGGAAAATTCTACAGCTACTTCGAGAAGAAATAGAGGAAGATAACCGGTTACGAAATATCTACCGGGTATCATATTTCTAACGGTACAATCACAGCCACGAAATGAAATTTCTAGCGAACTGTATTCGCGTAGTCGTCGACGCTGCGATTCTTTCGCTTCAACAAAGTGGAAAACGATTGCGCGCACGGTTCGCTTCTCATTTTCCTCCTATCAGCTGCACGATTCTCACGGTCGAAACGTTGCGGAAAAACGACGGGCGGGAAAAAGGAAAGTGGTAGTAAAAACGAGATAGGTGCTCGTGCTAGAGAGAGGCGGGGGGCACATCCACAGGCGAGGGTAGTTAAACCGACGCGGCGCAAGCGGAAATAAAAGTTCGCGTTCGCTAATTGCCGCGATGATGGATGCACGCGTTGACCCAGTGACACGTGGTTGATTCCAGAAATCGGTTATCTACAGCGAAGCCATTAAAAATTCCATGCATCCTCGAGTGAGGTCGTCGTCCAATAAAATCACGGGAATCTGGCGCAATTACGCCTACGCGCTCAACTTTACCGATGAATCTTTGCCGAAACCGTATTGTCATTGGTGGTAAATGCGATTTTGCTAAGGAAATGAAATCCTTATGATTAAGTGTGATTTTCTAGTGTTATTGAGTTCAAAGTAATTTGTAATATGATGCATGTGATCAATGCATCAAGTAAACAAATATCAAAATAAAAAACTAAGAAAGAGAGAAATCATAATTATGGAACATCGTTCTTTTAAATCATATTTAGTTAAATATTATTGGAAGAAATTGTTAAGCGTTTTCGCAGTAAACACATTAAATCCATACTCTTTAAAACAAAATGGCAATTACAAATTAAACGCGTCTTCCGTTGCCAAAAGCATTCACTGTCTCGTTTGGGGTCGGGTTGAGAACCTCTGGGTGCAATCTTGTACCAACTGGGGTTTGCGAGGTCTTGGTTCGTAACCTTCTCTCGGGGTCCTGGCTACGACGAGAGTGGTGTGAGGAATAGGGAAACAGGCAGAGCGCGCGGGGTTGGTTAAGGTGGAATACCGACTGGGGTGAGTGGTAAGGAGACTACTTGCCGAGCGATGGGAGAGGAAGGGAAGGAACGGGATGATGGGGATGGGATAGTCGGTGGCTTGGGATATATCCGTAAGGTCTGGGGGGGTTGAATCGGTGGTATGGGTGACGCGGTAGTTGGGTTGAGACCAGGCGCCGCGGTGAAGGAGTCGCTCACTCACTTACCACCCTCATGGCTCCGACCACCAACCCCAATACCACGCACACCACCGACATCCTCTTTCTCTTACTTCCTCGTCGTTCCACGTTTTCTCTCGCTCCCCTCTATCTCTGTCGCTACTGATCTTTTCTTTCTCTTCCCTTCTCATCATTTCACATTCCCTTACTCTTTCTTTCTATCTCACTTTGCTTGCACCTCTTCGGTTACTGCTTCCGCTTGCCAAGTTGCCTGCCGGCAGGCCAAGTCGTTCCTAACACTACAAAGTCTGTATATCCACGGTGTACCCAACGGTGGCCCTTCTCCTGTCTTTCTGCCTCTCGCTCCTTTTCAGACCACCCCTTTGAGAGGCACGCGGCCCCCATATTGATCGCGGCGCGAACCCTCTTTAGTAGAAAGGCTGCCGCTGCCGCCACCGCGCCTTACTACGATCCCCGATAGGCTAGGTGTAAGTAAACTTACGCGAATGAAAAGGTTAGTCTGCGTGTGTATACACGATCTAACAGGCAAAAGGAGAGAGGGAGAGAGAATATACGCGCTCAGAGTCGGTTAGTTGGTTGGAGGTGAGAAACAGCAGGACGGGTCTTCCGTCGTGACGTAACATCGAGTGCTTTCGCAATTTCAATGGCGAGAAGGAAAATGATGCGTTTGCACTGGAGTAGATAAGACCAGAGAATACACACCTCGGAATCGAACGTATCGTGCTAGGGGAGAAAAGTGGCCACGCGAAACGTGTGTCTGGAAACCGATGTTACGTGCAATCTTGAGCAGACAAGGAAAAAGCGTGTCGATAAAATATAAATACACGTATCATTTTACACCCATTCAATAATTGAATGCTTTATAACGTTATAATTATTATTATATAATTATTTTATCGCATATGCTATCCAATTAAACCGGTTTTCAGAAACTATTACTATCGCAAAAGGCAACGTATAAAAATTCTAAACTTAAATTTTAGCAATCGATACATTACCTTTAATACACGCAATGCCAGCTGACTCCAATTTCGTGAAACTTATTCCGCGCTAACAATTATCTATGTGGCAATGTAGACGAGCTACAAAATCCTGGCATTTTTATGATGCTGTATCGCCCGTCTCTCCGATCCTCAATACACTTCCATTTCGTTCTTCTATCGAGGGCAGTTCCTTCTCGAAGGTATCTAGCCGAACTCGTCCCTTTTGCCTGTGTGTGTTTTCTTTTACCGTCGATTTATCTAAGAAAGAGGAGCATCGCCGAGAGACGCATGTATGCACTCACTGCTCTCGACGGTGGTTTTCCTTTCCAGGAACACGACAGTTGTAACCGGACCGAGTCCCGTGACTCCCGGTCGGATAAATAGTGACCGGCCATTACCAGGTAACGAGAAAGAGAGCCACACAGTATCCTCATTTTGCTTCGGGAGAACGGAAACGGATCCCACTTGTGGTCGTTTCGTTTCAGAAAAGCGAAAGCCACGTAATACAACTCCTTAGAGGATTCGTTCCTTTCTCTGAGAAGAGTCATGTGCGTGTTTTCTTGCGCCTTCCTGGGGAATTTGCTGCCTTTCTCGGGTCCGGAGATCTTTTGTCCTCTTATCTCTTTTCATCGAGTAAATCAACTCCGGAGAAAGATACACCATTTTCCGTTGTATTTGAATCCGTCGCATCTTTTTTTTTTACCGAATGTCTATGAAATCCTTCACTGTATCTAATTGTGTAGGATCCTCTTTTTGAAAACTTATACTTTCAAAATTTGTTATCAAGTCTTAGAACTCTGAAGACACACTTATTCACAATTATTCAATGTAATCATTAGATTAGTTTATTAAAAATATACAACTTATGTAGTCCCCCTTTACGCAATTATTGAAGAAATTGTTGAGAAAGAGGCTGATCTTGTTAGTGGCTTCCTAAATCACAGTAGTCACCCTATTTCATTTCTTCCCGACCGGGTCCTCCAGACGCGAGCATCACCTCATAAGGGATAATAGTGGGGGCGTCGGGGTAATGGACCGAGCTAGAGGTGGCAGTGGATGAGAAACGAAGGGTAATTGAGAAGAGGAGATTTACTTCGAGGTCGAGAGAGGAGGGTGGTTCACAGGCGATGCTCTGAATGGGGCGTGCAGTTATCGAGGAAAAAGGGCTCACGTCGACCGCTTATATACGTCGGATGAAGAGAAGACGCGACTGCCGTATCGACGACAAAACTGTCGCTCGTAAAACTTTCCTGTCGATAATTTCGCCGCCTCCTTCTGCGACCTTTCTTCAGGATCGTATCTCTTAAATGTATTGACTGTAACTGCGCCCTGTTCCTCGCAGTGTTTCGTTGCGCGCTCATGCGTAACGTCCACTACATCATTTATATTTCACTATTTTTTTTTTATAAAGAATTTGCTGTTCGCACATATGTTAATATTTAAATAAATCACATACGTATTTCATTTACTATTTATTTTTCATGTGGATTGTTACAGAGAAATTCGATATCGCCAGCAGAACGTGAAAAATATAGTAGGCCGCGATCACCTGATCCTCAGCACCACGACCACCTACCGTTGAAGAAGATGAAGAAAGAACAGGATAAGGACATAGGCCATGTAAGTATCCAAGATGGTTCACCATGCTTTCCGATCACTGATATTCCTTGATAAAATCGTGCACGCTTTCCCCGATAGCAAAGTGATGGTGAAAAGAGTGACCAGGATTTGGTGGTCGATGACGCGAGCGAGGGGCCGACAAGTCCGACAGCGAACGGTACCTCGTCACCGAGAGAGAACGGTCTAGATAAATTAGGTCCATCTTCGGTGCCTTTAAGCAGCCAGGTGAAGAAAGAAGTACCACCTCCGTCGCCAAGAAGCGGCACTAGTAGCAATGCAAGTACCCCGTCAGCCAAGAAAATGGAGGATCGAGAAAAACCGACGACACCAATCTCGAAACCCGTCACGCCTACATCAGCGGGTGAGTAGCTTACTTTTTGGTATCTATTTTATCTTTAATTGTTACCGATAGACAGTGAATTTCAAGTTGTAGCTTGAAACGTAAAAAAACACTTTGCATTAGATGAAATCATTCATTTGAATACTTATAAAGTTTCACATTAGATACGGTGATGAAAATAAATGTACGTGGTTGGTGACAGGTGGTAGCAGCTCCGGTTCCGGTGGTCTGAAACCATCGAGTTCCAGTAAACCGCTGGTCTCGGCTTCGGCGGTCGGCCCTTATCCGCCACACTATCCGCCGCCGCATCATCCGCCCGCAGGACCTCATGTGGACATGCTCGGTTATCCTCCCGCCTTGAATGGATATCCCGCAAGACCTCCTCTTCAGCAACTCTATGACCCTCACGGAAGCATGAGGGCACCTCTTGGACCTCTCGGTGTACCCGGTGGCAAACCGTAAGTGCTCTTCTTAGAGACCTCGATAAATTCCCGTTCGGTATGCATTGACGCGTTGAGCTATAAATCGTCCGTAACCCGGCGGAGTATTTGTGGTATGAAACCACTACAATTATCTTTTAGTGTATTTAAAGACAAATTCGTAAATCTTCGGTCTTCTAAGTCTCAACTGGTTATTATATTTTAATAGTTATTCTTCTACTTATTTATCACTATACACGTAATATTTATATTATATATTATGAGGGAATTAAATTTGCTATCACGTCAAATGTAAGATGAAGTATGACTCAAAATTTCGCAATAGAAGTCAATCAAATCATCAATTTTTTTTATTTCAGAGCATACAGTTTCCACGTATCTAGCGAGGGCCAAATGCTACCGGTTCCGTTCCCGCAGGACGCTCTAATTGGACAAGGAATACCGCGTCATGCACGACAGATAAATACCCTAACACACGGCGAAGTAGTATGTGCGGTAACGATCTCGAATCCGACTAAATACGTTTACACTGGTGGCAAAGGATGCGTCAAGGTCTGGGACATCAATCAGGGCGGCAGCGGTAGCGCGAAACACGTATCGCAGCTTGATTGCCTGCAACGGGACAACTACATCAGGTTTGTTGAACGTTACGTTACGTTCCGCGGAACGCCCGCATTAACTTTCCACGCCGTCTAGTAGGTAAACGCGAGATCCGCCACTGAATAAATTCTGATTAGCCTCCTCACCGCCTTCCGCCCCTGACCGGCGATTGCGGTCTCGTTTAACAACTCGCGTGCCTCTCCATACGTGTAATTTCGACCTTTCGAGAAACTGCACCTAGTTAAGTGACTAGCTAGTTAAAAACGATCTCGGTTGCCCGCTTATCTTGCTTTGAATATTGATTACTTGGAAATTGAGTGCACTAGACGTTGCTCTTAACACGTTCGCTGCCATGTTACTTGATGATGACCGACACGAAACTTTTCGCTTATATCTTATCGGTGATTATTAATCAACGGTGAATATATTAACTATAATGAACATAATATGTCAGTACTTCCGTTTTTTTTTAAGATATGAATATTTTTAAGTCTTATCTAAGTTACAAGGACTATAATGATATAGGTACGAGACGCTAACTGCTTAAGCGACAGGAACTTAAGTAGTACAAATCAACGTAACAAGAAGATTATTATGCGTCGATACAGATTTTCGGATATCGGCCATGTTTTTATATATGATTAATTACTTAAATAATTATTATGGATATCAATAAATACTTCAAAATATGGCTTTCTAAATCAATATTTTTGTCTGTGTATAAACAGGTCGGTGAAATTGTTGCCGGACGGGCGAACTCTAATCGTGGGCGGTGAAGCGAGTAACCTAAGCATCTGGGATTTGGCGAGTCCGACGCCGAGGATCAAAGCGGAACTGACCTCGAATGCGCCAGCCTGCTACGCTCTAGCTATCTCGCCTGACTCGAAAGTTTGCTTCAGCTGCTGCAGTGATGGTAACATCGCCGTTTGGGATCTCCAGAATCAGTCTCTGGTCAGACAGTTTCAAGGTCACACGGATGGCGCGTCATGCATCGATATCTCCGCGGACGGATCGAAACTGTGGACTGGAGGATTGGACAACACAGTGCGCTCGTGGGACCTCAGGGAAGGCAGACAACTCCAGCAACACGACTTCACCTCACAGATATTCTCGCTCGGTTACTGTCCCACGGGAGAGTGGCTGGCTGTGGGAATGGAGAACTCGAACGTCGAGGTGCTACACGCCACGAAACCGGACAAGTATCAACTTCATTTGCACGAGTCTTGCGTACTTTCGTTACGTTTTGCTACTTGCGGCAAATGGTTCGTTTCAACCGGCAAGGATAATTTGCTGAACGCGTGGCGTACACCGTATGGTGCCTCGATATTCCAGGTAAAATTCGTTTCACTTCTTCATTAATTTAACATTGATAAAAGGAAATATGATTTGATTTTTAGATTTATAATACGGAATTATCACACGAATCTAATGAAATTATTTCATTTTTGTTACAGTCAAAGGAATCCTCTTCGGTGCTCAGTTGCGATATCTCCACTGACGACAAATATATCGTGACTGGATCGGGTGACAAGAAGGCCACTGTGTACGAAGTGATATATTGAACAATGAAATAACCGATACACTTTTAACACTTGATATTGTCGAACGTGCTACGCTTGGTGCATACGAGGAACGAAAAACAGTTTTAGAAATGAAAGGGAGCCTGTTCGAAAAATACGCACGAAAAAACAACGGAACGAGTCCTGCAAGAGAGAAATGGTCTTTTTTCGTGTATCGACAAAGTGGCGTGTGTTATATTTGTTAAATTTGAATCACGCGCGGTGGCTTTTCCTCGTTGCACGAAAGGAGATCGGAGGTGGAAGTGCAAGCCAAGAGAACTAAGGTTTCATTAGATAAATATAAATATATATAAAGGTGACAGAACATTTTAGATATTTAAGATTGTATAGAGCGCATGATTATAAATAGACAGAGGACAATTGTGTCGAAAATTAATAAAAACTCTGTACGTGATCCGTGTTCGACTTCGAGATACGAAGTCACTTGTGTAATATGTTACTGATGTAATATAGAATTTTACGATAAAAGTATCATTACGTGCGATTGTGTGTGTCTGTGTGAGAGAGAAGTGAAAATTGAAACGTTGTTTCTGCATTGTCACCACGTGTGATTTCCTCGTGCTTTATTATGGTCGAAAGAACGAATCCCAAATGCTCGGGACGAGAGAAAAAGGGTTACTTGTATGGAACACACTATGATCTAGTATATAGACCAGCCGACGTAGGAATGTGTGTCGCAGAATTCTACATTAATATATGGAACACACGAACACGTAGTAAGGACGAACGTCTTAATCCGAAGGAGTAGAAGACATAGGTCTGTATTGAAACGATGTAATTTCCATCGCATTAAGATATATAAGGGGAACTGGGTTTCTGCGTGAAATACCTTCGATATTTCCATTACGAAAGAAAAAGTATTTAAAAAGTGAAAAAAATACCGTACCACAAAATTTGTTCACATGTAGAACATTCAGTTCCCGATCTTTCGTTTTTTCGTTGCTGTTTTATATGCCGGTACTGTATAGGTACCACTTGTGACTATTTGTTCCGCGGTAATTGCGACGAGATTGTAAAAGGCACGAATGGAGGAAAGAGAATAATAGTAAATTCGATCGATCTCTGAATTCATTTTCTGTAGTAATCGCGCGTAGAAACGGATGAGAGAAAGAGACAAAAAGAGATTGAAGCTTCTTTCCATAGCATCATAATTGTTAATAGCGAATATAATATCTCCATTAATGAGGCACAAAACTTTAGTACATCGTGTCTTATTCGCAACTCAAACCGAGCATCGATTAATTATCGAAAATTATTTAATGAACAAATTTAATCAGGCTTTACGATTGGGAGTGTTTATTAAAACGAAACGGAACTTGATAATTTTTTCGATTTGCAAACATAATACGTAATCACGTATTTACATTTTCGAATCTCTATCCTAATAATGTTTGTGGCGAACAATGTACAATGTATCTTTAAATACTGTACCACGTTCATGGAAAGATTATAATTCGACGAGAAACTCGATTAAGCAATCGATGCATGGTGAGAAACATGGATTCCAGAGAAGCGGATACTCGTGAACAAATAATACCATAACTGCCATTAACCGGCAAAAGCGTTATTATTCGATAGAAGCACACAGGCTACTTACTTGCTGCTAGGCACGTTTTATTCGCGAGATGTTCATGCGAGAATATTTTTGTGACTATACCCCCACGACGATCGATTAGATTTAATTTTATTATTAACGATTCGATTAAACACAAATGTGTGTTATCACTGAATCTTAATATGCGAAGAAAGAAATGACATTGCGCGAAGTACACGCGGTTAACGAATTCTCCAATTGTCTGTGGATGACGGCGTATGAAATTAGTAGGATATTTACAAAGCGCGTTCTTATTCGGATCTTGAAACGGTGAAAGCAGGGGATGCATAATGGAGATTTATATTTTGTTACAGGAAGAACAATACATCTTTTACATTTGCTGTGATCGTCGTAGAATCGATACTATTATACTGCCGCAAGATCACAAAAATATAAAGTTTTAATAAATTGTATGCCGCAACAATGAATTAAAAGTGTGTATGCAAAAAAGTGGGGAAAGATACGCGAAAGAGCAAACAGATTTCCGACGAGCACAGCTTTGATGATAGACCAATAGAAACAACGATACCTCAAGAAGACTCAATAGTTAATTATCTCTTTAACGGATTAACTTGTACAGAATCGATATTCTTTTACAGTGAATAATTACGCATACCCGCATACTGTTGCATACACGCATACATACACATACATACACATACATATACAAGACAGACAGACGCATTAGGAAGAGCGAAATCGTGATTTTGGCTTCTATAAAGTGAATGCCAGAACAACTTTTTGTCCCGCGTTTCAATTAAATTATGTCTCCGTTTACACCCCGTGTGTACGAAAGCGATATGAGAATATATGCGTTACCCAGCCAGAACAACAAAAACAAAAGACAAGCGTTAATCCTTTTTAAGCACAGTTCATGTTGTTCCTATAGCTACGCGAAAATTGTTTCTTTCAACAATTAAATCATCTATATCTATATACATACGATTTTGATTTTATCCAGTCACCAATTTCACCATCAAGCTTCCCTCTTGTTCCGTATGTAAAACAATTTTACATACATCTATCACGAGCATTAAGAAAACTAATGTAACATTTAATTAATGTTTCCTCCTAAATAATCATTGATTTTTTAAATCAAGATAAACAATCTTCCGACTTATTTTCAGATATATTTCAATTACGTGTATTTCTGTAAAGATATAAATGACATACCGAATGCTTGACATTTTACACTTGCTACTTTCACATTCGAGTATGTATAAACTGGTTACATAAATTTTCGAATGATGTGAATAAAAATAGAATCGAAGAAACTGCTTGTGAGGTTTGACAATATTATTTTACATAGAGATGTGTGTACATAAGAATATTATACGTCTATGGATATTCTATCACGTACAGCACTTCATTTCCACGTTTGCTGTCATATGCCATCATCCGTGTGGATGTTGAAATGATTAACATTGATGAAAATAATAATGAATTTTCGTGTAAATTGGTGTGCTGATTCGAACTGTTCGAATAGTGCGTGTTCTGAGGCTCGATGAATCGCTACAGTATCGCCATCACGTAGATAACTACTTGAACTTAGCGGAATGTTTCAATATGGCCGCCAGTGTTTGGTTGCCGTGCCCGCTCACTAATTATTTAAATAATTTTGGTGAATGTGCGGGCGTACGCTGAGATAAATAATTCGGCAAAATGAATATGTCGGTGGAGAAAAAGAAATACCCTTCGGCGCTGCCAACAAATTGGCCGACTAGGGATGAGACGTCGAGAAAAAGTCAAAATCAATTGTCATCCACTGGAAAGGTTGACGTTTACTATTACAGGTACGTAGCTGAATTTTTAAACGTTACTTGTCTTAATTCCTTCGCTACACATTAAGTAAGACCTATAATCTGACTGGATTTCGCGACAAGCTTGATACTGAAACACTTGTCTTTGATTTTAACCTGTATGTTTTTGACACCGTATACTTTTTTTCAGTCGTGGTGTCAGAAACGATGCATCGCTAGTACCACCAATAAGACAAACAGCTTCTATATTCAAACAACCAGTAACCATTTACAAAATGCAGGAGGGAAAAGTGAAAGATATCAAACATGGGAATCAAGAAAAACCAAAACAGGTCAGTAAGTTTATGACTTACTTCATTTAGGGATGTGGACACTTAACTTATTGGATTTTTGTCCAGTGTTAGTCCATGTATGCATCTCCCTTAGTGCATGCGATGAGTAAACATTGTTTATACAATATATGTCGAAATAAAATCCAATGAGTTAAGTACATGTATATACCAGAACAATAGGAAAGTTTGTCAATTTTAATAAATGTTTTTTTAATATGAATAAAGGACATATACCAATTTTAAAGTTTGTTATAATATACACTCCAACATTTATTCATAATGTACATAAAACTATCATCATGCTTAATAATACACATATTGTGCCTTTCTAACATATAAATGTAACACCCCATTAAAACCTTATGATTGTATTTATTATGACATTTAATGTTCGTTGTAAATTCTCATGGTTGAATCATCAAATCATTCATCTAGGAAGGAGCCGATAAAACTGAAGGCAAATACGGCTCCCAAGATAAGCCTAAACAGGTAATACATTGTTGGATGTGTTTATGGAATTGCTACTGATTATTTATTTTTGTCGTGTCAGTGAATACAGAATATATACAAAATGTCTTTAAAGTGGCATTAATAATCATTTCTCATTTTGAACTCACTGTCAGTTGTGTAGTGCATGTTTCATTAAAGAATTTTTTGTTATGTAAGTAATTTAACTCACAGAAATTGGAATGGTAACACACATGTATTTAGTGCAATGTATAGAAGAACTATTATATTTTCTAAGTTTATTTTTAATATATGCTTGAATTAGAATGTATTCAAATATGTCCTTTGAATAATTTAAAACATTTAACAGTAAGTTATTATATTGTTTATATTATGAAATGAATACATTTTGTTTTTGTAATTCAACTCCACTGCGTTTTAATATTCATATTATATAGAATGATTGCTGTTTCATATGAAATCTTATTGTCACTGTATAATAACAGTATATACGATTTTACAGTTATTTTGGGAAAAACGTTTAGAAGGTTTGAGGGCGTGCGATCCTGGCGGTTTCGAATTCGATGCAATGGATTTACCAAGAAGCTTGAAGCCCGTGGGTCCTTATATTACGGAAGAAACGTTGCTTCAGAGCGTTGCAACCGCTTTACACGTTTCGTCTCAGCCAGTCACAGGACAAACTGGTTCGAAGACAGCTTTGGAGAAGAATCCCGGGGTATTTCTTAATCCCGATCAACCCCTCGTACAGGTAGAAGAAATATTTATATGTCAAATAGGGTGCTATTTTATAAAACTCGCGATTTGTGTCAAATACAATTAAGTGTATAAAATAGAACACCCTATTACGAAATGTAAATAATTATGTACTGGAGGTTTGAAAGGGTTTATCCAAAAAAAAAAACTATAGACGAACGTAGACTGAGTGATTGAAGCGACATTGTTGTGAGCAAAATCGATATTCTAATAAACGACTTGTTTCAGGCAGTCTCGATAGCCGATGAAGATATTAAAAGACAGGAAGACCGCGTGGCTCTCGCGAGAAAAAAACTCCAAGATGCTTTACGAGGAATGCCTACCTAAATTGTACAATTTTTTTTAGCTATATTTTAATTCGTTTAGCACTAATCTTAAGTTCGTCATTAACGGTTTTTATATAATAAATGTTTTGTAAAGAAAAGAAAGTAAAAATGTATCATATGATGCGTAATTTATAAAACTAATGTAACTTATAAAATTCTTATAAAATATTTTAACTTGTGACGAAAAAATCCTGAGAAAATTTATTCGGTTGCACTATACATAGTAACATGTACCACTGTTACTTGGTAAGGCTGTAACACGTAACAGATTTACGAGGTTGTTCGTAATTACGATTTCGACATCGTGATAAAATCACTTCTGACGACGAAAAAAAGGTTTGAGCAGGTCATCTGTGCAGCCATAAAAACTTATTTCGGTTTTCCTCACGAGTTTGTGATAATGCTAGCGCATCACAGTTCATAGTCGCCATCTGGCTAAACTTTCGGTCCATTCCAAAAATTGAGAATGGTCGTCCCTATTGGTCGTCACGAGCATTAGCCGCGTCGCGGTCCGAACCGTTTTCAAAAAAGAAAGGAACAGCATCTGGCTTCGCACGGAACGGAAACGAGGCCACCTGAAATGATCCCTAAAGCGAGCAGTTCTCCGCGATAAAATTCTTATAAAATATTTTAACTTGTGACGAAAAAATCCTGAGAAAATTTATTCGGTTGCACTATACATAGTAACATGTACCACTGTTACTTGGTAAGGCTGTAACACGTAACAGATTTACGAGGTTGTTCGTAATTACGATTTCGACATCGTGATAAAATCACTTCTGACGACGAAAAAAAGGTTTGAGCAGGTCATCTGTGCAGCCATAAAAACTTATTTCGGTTTTCCTCACGAGTTTGTGATAATGCTAGCGCATCACAGTTCATAGTCGCCATCTGGCTAAACTTTCGGTCCATTCCAAAAATTGAGAATGGTCGTCCCTATTGGTCGTCACGAGCATTAGCCGCGTCGCGGTCCGAACCGTTTTCAAAAAAGAAAGGAACAGCATCTGGCTTCGCACGGAACGGAAACGAGGCCACCTGAAATGATCCCTAAAGCGAGCAGTTCTCCGCGAAGAAAAATATGGACACGCGTGCACTCGAACCATATGCTCTCTTATTATATTACTCTATTAGTCAGATTATATTATTTAATAACCACACGAACATCCAGGAAATATTCACGGAAATTTTTAATTTACTATATGCATACTAAATTGAAATTTCTCTAAAAAATCCTCCCAATAAGAAGATTCGATTTATAAACTATATTGTATACAATGAAGATGTGAAAATTCTTCAATTGTGCTTGCATAAAGAAATAGACACTTAAAAAGAACGAACAACACCGTAGGCAAGTTTTCAACACGTATCGCTCACTTCAACAATAACTTTCAATACGAAGCCTAAATTGAACTTGAAAGGGAAATTTATATGAATCTGCAATATGCAGTAGAGTGGCTTAACTGCTCTGCGAGCTTATGCAAAAATCCCACGAGACAAAATTAATGACATCGATGTTTGAAGAGCAACCTCTATATCAAGGACATCTTCTTGTCTCATATATTCCCGAAACATCTTTCTCAGTGGTCTACGACAGTAGCTTTGCAGCGCATGTAGTTTTCGTAGGATGTCGTATGTCTGTCTGGGAATGGGTGCGTGCCCCGAGGCTCGGCGCACAAAAGAATGCCCGGGCAGGTATACGGACGTCGGTTTTCAGGTAAGCACAAGCCAGGTAAGCCAGGTGGTAACCTCTTTTTTCACTCTGTCTGCCCTCTCTCCTTTGCCATTCTCGGAATCCCCCGACCTCCCGTCCTCTTCTCATCATCGCTGAACAGCTGTTTCCTTGTTCGCGAAGGGTCGTTCTCCCTTATTGCCAACGCGCTGGGAAAAAGGGAGAGAGAGACGGAGGCCTCTGCTAGACGGGCACACGTCCCATTTTAAATCGTTAGAATTCGTCGAGCACGTTTGTAGACTCGCTCACTCTAATCGACCTTATGAGCTTCTCTTCGCAACGTGTATTAATACGCGTATACGTGATATACCGGCGAAGGAAGTCTGATCGAGGATGTGACCCGAATATTCGACGCGTATCTCATCCGACTTTTTAACGTCCCTGTCGATATGAGAGTGATTCTCGAGTTACGATACATACGACCTTGAAGAATTATTACTATGACGAGTTAAGGATTGATTTATAGATCGGGCGATTTAATGCGATTTTTCTAAGAAGCGTTGTACATATTATGCACATATTACATCGCTCGTCCAAGGATATTATAAACTACTGTTATTCACACGAAGGAAATAAAGTGAAAACAATGATATCAACATAATTGTTCGACAGTTTGTACAATTTATCGCCGACAGCTAATTTTAAACATTCTATATTTGCGAAACTTGTTTGCTCCGTTTTATCGAGCTCTATTAAGCAACAAGAAATGGTATCCACAATTCTTAACGCACATTAATTTCACACGTTTCGTATATATATAATCGCAAGAAATGGTAAATCACCAGCATACAAGAAACCAGATAACAAAGTGAGAATAATCAAACGTATTAAACTTAGCCAATGTTTATTCCGTATAGTTGCGGCGACTGATAAAATTTAATCCCTGCTAATAGTCTACGATTACGTCAAGCTAAGCGGTTAGAAGCGTCCATTTGATAGACGTTTGTATGTATGTCTTTTTCTTATTACATTTAAAAGAAAAGAAAGACATATCATTTTCCGTCAAATTAACGCTCATGTGATTGTAAGCTTAAACGTCGTTGTGGTTGATAGAGTAATACGCGCTCGTGGTTAAACTTGTAATCTGAGGCAGACAGATTTCTCTTCACTTTTCTCAGTGTTGTACCTGACCACCGTTGGAATTTAAACAATGTTAACAAGCTTTAAGGTTGTATGAGCCGTAAGATCTCTGCCAAAAGTTTAAGATATGTAATAAAAACCTACGTCCAATATTTGAAGCAATAAACTTTTAGAAAAAAATGATAATTACAGAGGGATAAGGTTTATAAAATTGTTCGACTTGTTTTGCTCAGTCATAAATTTCGGACTTATCCTATACAGTATTGTAAAATTTTCATTTCTTGGTGCACGGCGCATCGGCGGGCTTCATCGTAGAGTACGATTCATCTACAAGTTTTCGCGTGCTCCCGCGATTCACTGCATTTCCGCGGACTAAAATTGGATAGGAAGGTTCTATCTAGCACATATCGCAGATTGTATCTCTAGTTATGTCGAACCGCACTTCCGTATAAATAGAAACGCCACGATGCCCTGTTATCGATCTTCCGAGCGGCGTGATTCGACCGCGTTGACTATGCATAGACCGACCGGACGGCCATCTCTGACCGAGTACTTACTGAGTACAAAGCATTACGAATTTCCTGGAGGGTATTAAACGCACGCCGATCCTGCAATAAATTTTTCGCGATCGACGGTCAGTTGAATCGTAAAAGACGGATTATCCCTCGACCTAGGTAAACACTACTCAAAAGAAAAACAAGGATTTTCGAGAAAATGTGACGGACTAGCCGAGTACCGTTGAGGCGTGTAACAAATTTGAGAAATTTTACAATCACAGGAATTCGTTGGGGATTTGAAAGTTTTATTGTATATAAAACTCAATAGCAGAAAAGTTTTGAAACCTAGATTTATTGTTACTGATTTCACAGTCGGATCGTCGAACAATATTATTTTTTACCTCTGTTTTTTTCATGTTGACAATATTACCCGAGGTAGACAATGAATTTCGGCAATATTTAACGGATAAACATCATCAGTAAGCGGTCTTCCAAGGGAGGCGTTGGTCCATCGGTCTCCACGGAAGAACAGCTGGGTTTTCGACTCGCAACTGCTGTACACGTAATCAATGTCGGCTGACTTTCTCTCTTATGGACCTACCCAGACGAGAGCAACGAATAGAAAAACTTGACGCCTTGCCAAATTTAAATTTCCTGTATCGTTTTTCAATAATAAATTCTAAATTATAGTAAATTTCGTGAATCATGTAGATAAAATAAAAATTGTCATAATCATTAGTGAAAACCTAAACACGAAGGAAAGATAGAGGAAATTGATTAATGTAACCCAATTACACTTTAAGTTGATATTATTATGAATTAATTATGCGACAATGATCTTGAATTATTTTTTCTCATTTACTTTGCCTGATCTAAAACAAATTTTCATAACCCTCGCGAGCTAAGGTATACTTCTTTGTATTTATGTTGTCAAACAACAAAGCGTGCTGATATGAATGAACACGAACTTCCAGCTGATTCTGATTTCCACTGACACTCGAAGTCATTAAACTTCCGTTCCCTCACAGGACCTGGTCGATCCAGATATGCACATACACATCGTCCAATTCGATATGCATATACACGTGCACGTGGAACACGTACACACGGTAAGCCTTCAAGCTCGACCATGGTTTCCGTCTGGCCCATTGTTCGTCTTGTTCTGAACCCAGAAAAAAGTCGCTCAGATCGAAATCTATTGAACCGCCTGAAAAGCGAGTCTTTTCTTCTCCTTCGCCGCGAGCTCCCTTTTCTGTGCCCTTACTCCATCGTCCTGTTTGCTCCTGCTTCCACTCCTTTTGAATCTGTATTCTTTTTCTCCCTTGCTGCCCCTCTCTTCGTCCATTCTCCCTTAATTCGATCCCTCGCGTCTTGTACAAGCTTTAGATTGGTAAAAAGTGTTGCAAGATTCCGTTCGAAGTTGAATAAACGTCAAAAACGTACACGCGATCCTTCGACGAATCGTTTTGTTGTGGAACGGGTTTCGATGCAGAAGAAACTTCTATCGATGGTAAAGTTCACTGATCAACCTCGTTTCTTGTCTCTTCTTCAGTATTTTCCCCTTTTCAGTTCACTTTGTTATTTCTACTTTCATCTCATTTTCGACTAATTCAATGCCTGTTGTCTCAGAATTGTAGTAAGATCTTTTCGTAGAGAATCAACGTTAAAGTTCAAAACCGGCGTACACATGATTCAGCAACGAAACGAGTTTCGAAGCAAGGAAGATTTCCGTTAAACGTTTTTATTCGTGAAGTTCACTGGACAACTTCGTTTCTTTTGGTCTTTCAAGTCAGAGGTCGTGCAAGCACGATGAACGATTGTTCCCGCGTGGG